TCGCAGAGGTGAGAGAGGCGCGGATTCTCGTCACCGCTCCGGCGATGCACCACGCTGGGTGGTGCGGTGCAGGTAACCGCCACACATGACACCACACACGACAACCGCATGTACTCGTCTAAGCAAAGTGCAAACGGTGACGTTTGTCGGCGTCCATTTCACCTGTCTGCTTCGCATGGCTGATGTTGCTGTAGAGCAACAGAGATAATTTTACATCGAGGTGGGGTTGTTCATTGAGATAAGTGCCTCAGGAGTAGCGTAGCGGTGCACGGCTGCGATACCTCCTCCGTGTTTGTCAATCGGGCATCCAGTCGTTATACGTTCCACGGTCTGTTCTGGGTGACCACATTGCAACAGGGACACGTGTGTAAGCCGCCTGTTGAGGACAATGGCACGCGCCTTCGACGGTCGCTCAGCGATTCCCAAACTCGCGCTCCGATGGGACACCACGATATCTCGGCTGCTACAGAGTAACCGCAAGGTGCTGAACCTTGAGTCGACGTGACAAGAGAAGCGATGAATGCGAATCTTGTCATCTGGCTCCAGACAAAGGCAGCAGGCCTCGGTGAAATGGCTCAGAGGCAGGAGCGGAGAAACACACGCCAGGAATCTTAAGCATTTGACAACTCGGCTAAGGTGCGGTCGCGCTATTTTGCGAGAGAATACAGAAAAAGGCAGCTTGCGTTTTGTTTCTGCACCGCAGAGTTAAGCCTCAGAGTGCCAAGAGCCCGATGCTAAAAGCCCGATGCTAAGAGTCTGATGCTAATAGTTAGACAACAACGACGCCACCATCCCCTGCTCCCGGCAGAGCGCTCAAAGCGCTTGGCGGCCGTGGAGTTCCCCTTTTGTACGAAGTCTTCGCGGCGGCAAACGCAAACTGGAAAACATCCCAGAGGTGGAACCGCCACAGTGCCTACCGAGCAATTTACTCGGTGAGACCGGGTGGGATCGGCAGACATCTCGCTCGGCCCGAGTTCAATCCCTGACGATGACGGGATGTGGCGGATGGTGGGGGGGGGGGGGGCGCCGCCAACGACCCCGGACACTTGCCCTTCCTCCGCAAGCAGCTGCGGAGGTTTGGCGGGGGGTTGGGATCGGAAGCGCGACTTTCGGTAGTGGGGGGGGGGGGGGTCACTGCCACCGTCGCCGGAGCTTGCGGTGCGAGAGGCACCGGCAGGGCAACGGAGGGGTCGGGGGGGGGGTGCCAGCGAGGGGGCTGCCGAGCCGTCGAGTGGCACGCTTGGAGACCGGCTGAGCGCTGGCGGCGCTAGTGGCCGACGTGTGCCACTGTGAGCGCAAGGGGGAGGCGATTTCGATGTTTAATTTTCGTGTTTCATTTGGCTTGTTTACACTGGAAAAAAGCTCACCGAGGTTCGAGACACGTTTTCACGAGGGTGCTGCCAGGTTTGCCACGCAGCCGTATTGGCGACTAAAACTCAACGCGTCCGTCAATAACACCGTGTGTGGGCTTCAAAAGAAATCGTGTAATAGGTGACGTTTTGGCCACTGGCCCTTCTCCATAGTACGCGGCATTTTGTGCGCTTGGGGCTGCGTGCGATCCCCACTTGAGTACTTTGCAGGAGATGATTCAGCATTGGAAATCTTTTTGGCCGACACCCGTTACACTGTGCCGGTTAGTACGTTAGATGTCGGAAGGGTAGCAATTTGCAGCTGTCATTGTTTATCTTACAATTGATTGAGAAAGTGATGGAAACAAAGCTACCGCGATTTGTACACAAACAGGAAGATTCGTGGCATCAAAAACCCACCGTCACCCACCTACCACCACAACCACCACCCACAGCCACCCACGACCACCACCATCCACTACTCACCTCCGATTAGCATGGTTGGCTACGTACGGTGCGAAAGAAGTTCGACAATATAAACACTCTCACAGCCACCCACCACCATCCAACACTACACACCACCACCCACAGCCACCCACACATTCACCCACCACCATCCAACACTACACACCACCACCCACAGCCACCCACAGTCACCCACCACCATCCCGGTTCAATTCAGGCTGCAAGACCTGACAGGTCAACAAACCCATGTGCCAAAACCCCACAGCCCCCTTCATGTAACGACAAGCTGGCTGTCGGTGCAAAAATCTAAAAGCAAATAAACACCAAAGTAAGCGAGCAACTCTGGAATCGCAATCACCACCGCAGAAGCAGCTTAACACATCATTGGTGTGGCCACGGTGCGCCCCTTCACGTCACCACGTGACCTCTGTGCTGTAATCGACGGCGCGTTACGTAAACGCGCGCTGCGTGCGCGCCGCGCCACCATCTCGCACGGAGACACTTCAAACGTACAAAAACATCACCCCCACCGCCACCGGCCCGACATCTTGGTTTGCCGACACAAAGCTTGCAGGCGTACAGAGGGCACGGGGAGATCTGCCTCGAGCCGCATTTCCAGGGCCGCACAACCGCCGACAGTTATATCCTCAGTGTTTGCACAACACGGCCGCGGCCAGTGCGGGCGGCCTCCGCCAACGACCGCGCGCTCCACCTTATCAGATTTCCACTTTGGTAACCCCATTGTTAGGGAAGCGAGCTGGAGGTCGTCCCATGGATGGCCTCGCCCGTGCCACGGAGACGTGGAATTTCCACCGCGGGACGAGCACCGTCTCCGCTTCGTTTAAAACGATAAACTCGGTGGGGCGCGGCAAACCACTCCGACTGGACTTCGTCCAAACGCTTCGATTTTGCAGCGTAAAAAGGGAACGACGAAAACCTAGAGACGTGTTTGGTAGCGAACTCCCCCGCGAGAGCGCATTCCGTGGCTGGCTTCGCCCCTCCCCCACTGGAATTCGGCGGCGCGAACGAGGCGCCGCGTCTTCCCAAAGGTGCGCGCTCGTGCCCCGGAGCCAGCTCCCGCCCGTCGCCCGGCCGACGAGCAACAATGCCGCCGTTTACCGCACGCCGGCGGAGCCAAGCGCGCGGTAACGAGCGACGCGCGCGTTTGAAACATACCGGAGCGTGGTGCGCTGCCAGCGGGTCGCGTGCTCACGCCGCGGCGCTGCCAACGGACGGGGCGATCGCCCCACCAGGGATTCACTCTCTCGGCCGCGCGCGACCGTCACTTCGGCAATTCCACGAACGTTCATGATTCTGGGCTGACGTTTGATTCAAGAATTATTGAATGTGTGTAGCTTTTTTTGTTTGTTTTATTATCCCGTCCGACTTGTATCGTCTCTCGTTTTTTTCTGTCTCGTGAGCACAGTTCGGTTTCACTCATTTAGCGGAAAATGGGAGACGATCGTATAATTCGCATTCACTTGGCATGTATCGTGAGCGCAATGAGTCGACGTTAATCGGTGAACCACCATGTGCCTGGTAGCGCCCAACCTACTTCAAATGGTGCGGAGCCTGACGTTGTAAACTTTGCAATGCCATCAGAGAGAAGGGTCACTCTCTCTCTCGGGGCCACGACCACTTCTCAGTTCCACTTCTGAGTTCCACTTCTGAGTTCCCGCCAGGCAGCACTCAGCTTTGCTATCCACCGCCCGAAGGAATGCATTCCCACCGGGCGGTTGCGATAGGCTGGGGCACGTGGCTCGAGTTACAAGTTCAACTCCCAGTTGGAGGTCACTTCAGTCTCACCTGGGTCGACACAATGACAAGTGCTGCTGTTGTGGACAAGCAAGCAGTGGTTGTTCATTTACTGAACCCCCGCCATGGGAATGTGGAATTTCCCACTCGTCTCGGCGCCATAAACAGGAGATGAGAGCGTGACCCCCACGCTCTCGCGTCGCAGCGCTGGGTTTCGTTTTGTTTGTCTGCGGTTGGCCAGCGACGAAAGCTTTCGCAGGAAGACGAGCAATTGCGGACAGCGGTGACAGCAGCGCTCGTTATCACGGTAACACAGGAGGAAGATTTCTCCACAAATGTGGCTGTTGCCTGATGATGCTAGTTGTAGTTACTGGCGAAACGTCGTACTCAGTTTGTAAATGTTGTGGATTTGCTCTCCAGCACATCGGTGTGCTGTACTAGTGACGAATTGGGATGTTCAAACCTTACTAATTGGCTGTGTCGGGTGGTGGCAGGTTTAACAATACATTTATATTTACGCGATCTAATCCAAAAAACCTCTATTATGGAGTAAAATCATCTTTAACGGGTGAGATCTCATAACGATTCAAGGGACGAATTCAATTATTAAAAACAATTATAAATCATTCTTTGGTAACCCCATTCTGGAGAAGCGAACTGGCGGTCGTCCCGTGGATGGACTCGCACGTGCCAGGGGGACGTGGAATTTCCCCCGCTGGGATCAGCGCCGTGAACGGGGGATGAGCGCCGCCTCCACTTCATTTAAAACTATAAATTAATTAGAAGTCATTATTTAAATTACTTCAATGTGGAGGAGAACAAGTCCCCCCCCCCCCCCCCCCCCCCACATCGTGTCAATAACCAGGGGCTCCGACAACAATATTCCATCCTGTCGGGCACAGCAGGGTATGATGTTGTGTGTTCACATATCAGATGTCACTTCTCGTACGCCATGCCGGCCAGTTACGAGCACACGCCGCGAGTCCAATCAGCCAAGTAGATCAGTTGAAATCGTTATTTCATTTGGACAGTTAAAGAATCATCGAACGAATATGACGAGGGCCAGCAATAAACACTCAGGAGAGAATGCCCTCACGGCAGTCGAGAGGTGGCGGATGACTGAGCGGAGGTGGACTCGTGGCGGTGGGGACCACACAACGATCTATGGCTGCACACAACAAACAGATCGAAGCATCAGCATGATTTTGAGCAGCTAACGATCACCGTGACGATAACAACGATGACGACAACACAAGGGGAGTGTGGGGCTCGCTGCTAATTTCGAAGGCGGCATCAGGTGACGGTGGGGGGCTGGGGGGAGGAGGCGGGGTGGGTGCGGAGCGCGCGCGGGGGTGGGGCGGATTTCTCAGTCAGGTGTTTTTGGGACTCGTAAATGTTATCGTAAATAAATAAATAAGCGCCGCTAACCGACCCGTTTGGGTTTGGGTCAGGCTGCCGCTGGTCTGGACTTGGCTCAGAGTCGGCGCGGAATCGACGGCGGCCAGATTGGACCGTGTCCTCATTATAGCCGGCGGGCCAAACGAGCCCAGTTCGGCCAGCTTTCGGCAGGTTTCGACAGACGCGAGCCCGCGGCGGAACGCGTTTCTTATACGACGCCACGGGACGCCGCATCCTCACTCGTCTCGAGAGATCGCGGGCGGAGGGCGTGCGGTATAGTCGAGCTTCGCCGCTGGGGCAAACGAGACCTGAAGCGTCGTGGATCGGCTCTCGCGCTCAGGAGCGCCTCCGCTACACCAGACAGTCCCCCGGCGGCAGATGAGCCGCTTCAGCCGAGGAGTTGTGTTCCAGTTTTTTCACCGGTCCTTCAACGAGCCGTCGAGAGGTACGTTTGCCAGCGAGTTTAGATTTTGGTTTTGAATTGCATTTTCGCTTCAAGTATTCAGTTTTACTCGACAAAATTTAATTTCAAGTGTTTAGTGCAACTTTTTTTCTGGAATTTTCCCGACGGCGTCTGCGTGTGCGTGTGTTTAAATACCACTCACAGCCAAATGAAGTTGGTTCAACGTAAGATTAAATGTTTGACGAGTTACTAAGTTAAGCTTGGATCTAAAAGTTACTTTACAACTTTACAACTCCGATTAGCTCCGTATGGTGTGACAGTACATTAGTATTACATCAATTACATATCAACTACCTTATGAAAAGGATGTGCTATAAGGGATATTGCCCAAAACGTCGCCTATTATATATTTTATATTTTATTATTTTCCGGCCACAGCGTTGAGTTGTTGTTGTCAGCTGTGCTCGTGCACCGCTGCCAACCCAGTAGCAGCGCCGTCACCACATACTTTGTTATAATGCGGACGGCAATTTAATCTTCACATCTTTTTCCGCTTGTAAAAAACTAAACAATACGTACAGCAACTCAATGAATTACCGTAGTTTGCTGTACGCAGTATAACCATCGCTTTGATACAACGTTTAAAAAGTCGTGAAGAAGTGAAGATCGCAGGCACGAATAGCAGCGGCATGGAATTTTACAGAAAAACCGTGCCGCGCTGTGCGTCCCCGCGCGGCGGTCAATGTTGCGCAGATCAGCAGCAGCGCTGATCTGGTAAACTCAGGATCGGCGGCGGTGCGCTGCCGATCGCCCATTTGTTGCCGCGCCATGCCACAAAACCCACCGGTGTGTGAACGCACACACGTACGCACACACTCGCGTAACAAACCGCGTACGTCCAGCGCCGCCCGCCCACTACTCGTGTTCGCCGAATGACGACCACGAGCGGATGTTCTATCTCACGATAGCCGCGTGCGTGCGCGAGTAAAAGCCCCGAGGCAGAGCAGTGCTGCGTCGCGCGACGGACAGTCTCCAAGAAATATTTGAATAAGCGCTGCCGGCTTGTATCTGTCTCTCGGACTAGATACTAAGGGGAGGGATGGCGAGAGGGGGACAGGCAAGCCCCCCGCCCGGCCATTCGGAATAAGACCCGCGGCACAAGGAGGTCATTTCCAGGCTCAGTTCACGGTGGGCACAGTGGGTGGGGAGACAAAGCTGCGAGCGGGGTCAACGAGAGGGGACGGCAGCTCTTAACCTTGCACTAAGCGCCCCCCCTGCAGCTTCCGACGCATCATTCTCTGCGTTGTGCCAAACGCTTCTTTGGGTGTGGATATTGGCAAATCGGTGGTGGTTAAAGTTGTCTTGCAAGCGCCGGGTTTTAATCGCCGTCAGGACAGGCAAGATTCTTCATCCAACATTGCCTCTGTCCATCCACGGGCTGGCTTGTACGGAGGGGTAAAGTGAAGGAACCTCCCGGGGGGTTTGAGTGGCGGCATCTCTTTTCCTTTGTGGACACCCCCACTGAGTGCACACCGGCGCTGACCTTTGCCGGGAAACGTCGCTGACTCTGTGGGGTGGGCGGTGGAATTCTCGTAACCGGAGCGATGATACAACTCTGTTTACAACCCTCGCCGTCAATCTGCCGCGCCGGAAGGAAAAGTGTCCACAACAGTGACCAACATGCAAATTACGTCCCTTTCATCAAAGTCAAGTCTTTCTAATTTGCATTTACAGAAGTAAAAACCTGCAGCTATTTTTGGAAATTTTCATCTTGGCAAAACTATTCAGCACTGAAAGTTAACGTAATGTTTAATTTCAACATTTCGTCTGTGAACAACGTACGTGAAAAACCCTACGCTTTTGCGCAGCAACATAACCTGCCTTGCGTGTAATTCGCGACCAACTGATGAGAGGATCTGACCATGTGACGTAAAGTGTGACTCAGCGGCAGAGTGAGCGGCTCGCAATCGGCAGGTTTCGAGTTCACATCCTGGTCGGGGGCTCACCGAACCCATCATCCCTCCAGGGTTGATAGGAACACGGAATTTCCATGACGAGCTCAGGGCTGAGGAGATCAGCATCACGACCGCAATGCCGATTTGAGCAAGGAATCACGATTGACTTTCACAATGAAAACGTTTCCTTTAGCTCGGCGAGTCGATGAGGAGGGCTGTAAACAAGAGTTTCAACATCGCTCATTCTGCAAGAGTAAATGACATGGTCCGGCAAAGGTCACGCGGTGCTCGCACCTGAGGTCTTGTCTCCCCCCCGCATTTGAAATAATGACTATAACCTCCTAACCTGCTTGTTTGTTTGTCGTTTTTTTTGTCGCGTTCCCTTCCGCAGGCTCAAATCTCCCACCCGACGAGCGAATCGCTGGGCGAGCGAAGCAACCGCGGGCGGAGAGCCACCGCACGTCGCGACACCGCGCCTCTTCCCCTGTTCGCACATGAGCTCCTCTCGCGGCCAACGCTAAAGTCGAGGCGACCGACAGGCCGGCGAAAGGTGCCACGATGACCAACGAAGACGTCGGCTCGAAGCTGGACAAGAACATGATTCTGTACAAAAACAAGATCCGAAAACCCAAGAAACCGCACTACATCCCGAGGCCGTGGGGAAAGCCTTACAACTTCAAGTGCTTCCAGTGCCCCTTCACCTGCCTGGAGAAGTCGCACCTGTACAACCACATGAAGTACAGCCTCTGCAAGAACTCGCTCTCGCTCGTCAAGGAGGCGCTGGCCGAGAAGGCGACGGCGCGGGATGGCCTGTCGGGCACCGACGCCAAGCTCGCGCACAGGCCCGGCAGGGGCCTCGTATCGCGCAAGGGCGGCGACGTCGTGCTGGTGCCGGAGGAGGACGGTGTGCGGGCGACGGAGTCGTTCAGCAAGGAGAACGAGACAGACGACGCCGACCGGGCGGGCGACGATGAGGACGACGAGGACGACGACGACGCGGACCGCGGGCTCGAGTCGCCGGACGAGGTCAAGCGGAAGCTGCTGGAGAAGGTCCGCCGGGAAATGCAGCCCGACGACATCGTCATCACCAACGTGTACTCCGTGCAGAAGCAAGCGCCGCCGCGCAAGGGCGAGGACCGCGCCGCCGAGCGCGGGTTCCCCTTCCCGTCGCCCGCTGCCCAAGTGGCCAGGGCCCAGGGGCCGGCGCCCCGACTCGCGGCGCCCTCCATGACGTGCTACCCTCCCCCGCCGCCGCCGCCGCTGCTCGGCGGCTTCGAGAGCCAGCGCCAGCAGCTGCTCTCGAGCCTGCGGGCCGGGCCGACCCTGCTGGCCGCCGCCAACTACCCGAGCCTCTACCCGTATCTCGGGCCCCTGCTCGCGCACGGCGCCCAGCCGCCGCCGCCGCTGCCGCTGAGCTACCAGCACTTCGTGCCACACCTCAACGGGCTGGCGGGTGGCACGCGGGTACCCGTCGGCGCCGGCCAGTTCTTCCACTCCCTGCCGAGCCTCCTGGGCCTCCAGGGACAGCTCCGCATGCCCCACGTGGCGGAGGCCTGGCAGGACCTGCAGCAGCAGTACTGCGGCGGGGTCAGGGGCGACGTCAAGGCGGGGAAGCCTTTTGAAATCTCCAACCTCAGCCAGCTGCGGGGCAAGAAGGTTCCAACCGTGGTTCTGACGTCCAAATGCTGGCCGCACGGCAGTAACGGCTTCAAGCCGGACACGGCACTTCTGGATAACCACGCCGCCAAGACGAGGGCCGGCGGCGAGCCGCCCCCGAAGGTGCCGAAGCCGCCGCCAAAGCCGATGGTGGAGGCCCTCCCGTTCGCCTCCGTGCTGCCGCCGAAGAAGGACTCGGGAAAACAGCTGGCGCAGGCTCTGGACATGAGCAGGGTGAACGGCCACTCGATGGCGGGCAGCGCGCAATCGTCTCCCAGCAGCAGCAGCAGCAGGAGCTGCAGCGTGAGCAGCTTCAGCAGCGCCAGCCCGGTGGGCGCGGATGCCAGCCGCTCGCCGCACCTCCAGCCCTCCTCGCCGCCCGTCAGCAGGTGGGTTCGCGAAACGCCACCGCAAAACGCGGGCAAATGGAATTCTGAAGGCAGAGTGCAGCAGTGCGCTTCGATAGCCCTGTGGGCGAGCGTTCGCGAGAGCTTGGGGCGGTCAGCGACCGAGGACGAATGAATAAATGAATGACCCACATAGGCAGGTTCGAGCTGTGAAAGCCTCCACGAATGATGAACTTGGATTTACGTGGTCTTTCAAAAGTGAGGTGGGAATTATAAAACACCGTAATACAGTGTTTAATAGAGGGGAGGGTATATGCAAAGTATCAGAGCACTCAGCCCGGTCCCATGTAATTGTGTTTGGGGAGGAGACAGCGTATACCCCATTGAGACGCGTGAAATTCCAGCAACCTGGGTTTCCAGAAAAACAGTTGAGGAACGCGACGATTTAGGAACATTACCCACGTAATGATAATTTCGGGGAAAATGTGCATAAGGCGATTATAGTAAGAAGGTGAACTGCATTAAAACTGCATTACCGTACGAGAAGCATCACGTGGCGTCTGGAAAGGAAAGCGACTAGGTGAGGAGAGCGGGAGAGGCAATGAGAAACATTTAACAAAATGCGACAGAGAATGTAAACACTCTGCAGTCACGAAAGCTCCAAATCAAGATAGAATGTAAACAGATTGGCTTTAAAAAAAAAAGGCAGCCAGAAAAAATGAAACCACACACGGTTCAATCCGAGCATTTACAAAGAGTTTCATCGAAGCCGATTGGTACATCGTGATTCAAACATGGCTAAGGTCGGGATTGAAAGCTGGAGGCGGCCAAGAGGCCGAGTGATTCGAGAATCGTGGTGCGACCGCTGAGAACGATGCCCCACCAAACGCGCTGCCGCCATTGCCGCTGCTGCTGTTGTTGCTGCTCGCTCTGGGCACGACGCATGGCGGGATGGGGTGGCGCGTCTCCCCGCTTGCGAGCGATTTGGATCTGGTTGTGGGCAACGCAGCGGCTGTGGCGGTACCTTGTACTCGCACCGGAGGCTTGTCCGAACGCATTTCACTCCTGTCCGAGCGAGGCCGAAGGACGGACCCCGAATAGAGAGAGACTCGTTGTGTCGGCGGGTTGAGTGATTGACGTTAAGCGAGTAAACAATGGTCATGGCCAAAATCGGCGACAACTGATATCCAAACCTGTAACAGTTGCCCCCCTACACTAAACTGCAGTGACCAGCGTGGTGAAGCACGGCCATAGAACCCCCATGAAAGACAGGGCATGGAAAGGACTCGCATAAAGTTGTCTAAATAGGTGGTGTCCATGTTACGGCTTGTGTTCCTGCACCTGTAACTCACGAGTGCCCTTCCTTCCCACTTTTGACAGATCCCAGCAAGCCAAGAGGAAATTCTCGCTGCCGTGCAACCTCCCTGTGCTGGGCCCCCACTGCGGGATCCCCCCGAGCGCCGGCCTCCAGCAGCAGCAGCAGCACAGGCCCGGCTCGGCCAAGCCTCCGGGGCACACGGAGAGGCCGCTCAACTTCAGCGTCAGCTCCCTGCGAGATCCGACGGCGGGCGCCGCCGGCTCGTTCCACGGCGGGGGCAAGTTCGCGATCGACGGCGCCAACGCCGGCGTTGGTGCCATCGAGTCAGGATCCGGGCACCCACGCAGCGCCCTCGCGACCGAAAACGCCGACGCTCGCTCCGCCGAAGCGGCGGCGGCCGAGCTCCAACAGTCGGCGGACGACGTGGAGAAGGAGCTGTCGGCCTACGAGCGCGTCGCCAGGTCCATGTCCGAGGACGGCAAGCAGGGCCCCGAGGTGCAGGAGAGGCTGAGGAGGATCCGGCAGGAGCTGGCGAGCCTTCAGAAGGATCTGACCCTGGAGAGCCTCCAGAGGGACCGCGACGCGGGCGCCATCGACCTGTCGCGCAGGAACTCCGGCGAACGGCGCGCGGCGGATGACGCGAGGCCCGCGTGCGGGTTTCTAACGACGACGGACGCCCGCAAAGCCCCCGCGCCGGGCGGCGCCACGGACGAGGACGACAAAGCGGCGGAGCGGAGCGACCCCACGCGGGCGCCGAGGTCGCCAAACGGCGGTGCCAAATGCCTCGACCTTCGTCTCAAGTGCGCGGCCGCGGCGAAGCCGTGGCGCGGTTTCGCCGGCTTGAACGGCGACGCGCAGGCGCGCCCCGACGCGCCCTCGCGGCGCCACGCCGGCTCCGCGGCGGCGGCCAAGCCCGGCGTCGTCGCCGTCCCGCCCGGCGACACAAAGAACCAGGAGCGAGCGGCGAGAGAGCACGACGGGAAGAGGAGCACGGCGAGGGACTTTGACTGCGATGACGTGGCTCCGGGCAAACGGCGGCACCTGTCGCGCGATCACTCGAGCTACCCCTTTGCGTGATTCGGGACTTGAACGGTATTCTGGGCCATCTCTAGGGGGAAGGGGCCTGGGACAAACCACAACGTGTGGGCCCCCCCCCCCCCCCCCCCCCGACGCCTTCAAACATCTCGTGCCGTGACGTCGAAGCGCGGGCCCCCCCTGGGGCACGGCACTGGCGGCATCTGCAGTCGTGGGTCAGCTGCTGGCGTGCGGGTTGTAGCGTGCGGGTCGTAGCGTGCGTGAGTGCGCCTTTGTTGGACACGCATGCCTCAGGTTCCCCTTTGAGAAAGGAAAAGGTTTCCCGCCCCATAGTCACGGCACCACAAAAGCAAAGGGGCGACCGTTATTATTTTTGAGCGCGCGTTTGTAAATTGTAATGAGAGCAAAACGCCGCAAATGTCATGGAAAAGTTACGGCAGAAACAGTTTCGGCCACATAAAGATGCGATATTAAACACTGCAAAGTTACGGACGTTCAACATAGGCGGATTGGTTGTATTCCGTACACGTGTTTATGTATGTATGTATATTTCCACACGTTTTTATACGAATGAACGAAGTGGTTTATTGATGATAAGCTACAGCAGATTATTTGTATTATTTGTAGGGCTCGGTAGTGCAACCACGTGAGATGGCTCGTGAGTGGACATCAGTCACCCTCACTCTTACGTGGATCAATCGAATCGCGATTGTAAAATCCATTATTTACAACGTACTTCGGGTCATATCAGCGGTGGTCAAACAACGCCCATAACTGACACGGCGTGGAGAGGACTTTATCCAGCAGTGGATTAGCAGAAGGCTGGACAGCCATTATATATTTTTTTATCGATAAATACATTTTCGCTCAACATGACATTCGTCCCAATACACTGAACGTAACCGTGCAGGAAACAGGACAAACGATGGGGGGGAAACCACGCCGGGGAGTGAGACAAAAAACTAAATCGCGGATTCTCGGATCGAATCACGACCACGCACGCACCGGGGTTGACGAATCGATCTGGCCACCGGGGAAACGAGGGCTGTGAATCACGGGAGGCTTAGCGTCTACGCCCGACCCCCCGCAGGTTCAGAGACTCCAGCACATTGCGAGTTTGACGCAGGCCAGAGCCATGCTGTGGTTTAGTTGTCACACTACAAAGCCGCCCGTTATGAGTCCACACACCCATATCGAAGCTCAGGGTGAGTTCGTGATGATTACGAACGATCGGAAAGTTTATTCACGTGATAAGAATCTCCATTTGATCAAGAACGACATGATTTTGTGGCTCAATTGTTATCGTGTTCTCCAGATTATAAAGTTTGAGGTGCGTATTATAATCCGGCAGGTGTGTGTGTGCAGAGGTGTGCTTAGAACCTGCCAACCCGGGTTTGATTCCCGCTCACGGCCAACGCCAGTGACGATTATCTGAACCAGTCCTGGGCCTCCCCAAGGTCGACTCAGATTAAAATAATTAGTGCTTGGTATGATGTGTAAACATCGCCACTAGGGAGACAAGGGCAGCCGGGCGTGCTGCTGGCCACCCACTCCCTCGTGTGCCATACCAGCCTTCATAGGTGCTTGCTAACAGCACTTGCCCCTACAGTCTGTTCAAGCTACAAGGGGGATATTTGTCTTTGTCTGTGACTTAATTGATACTGGGCACAAGTCGGGATGTGTCTTGTTTTCCGCAGCCCTCTTATAACCCAGAGAATACGGTAATTACAATTATTGCTGATCACTTAATGACATGACAGGAATTTGTAGGTGGTATGTTTACACTCACTGTAAACCTCAGATTGCTGCATGTGTATATTACGGTTAATAAATGCAAACGCAAGACATGTTTTAAAGCTAAATTATTTCCAAAATGAAGGTGGCGATACTGCAGGTATATAGTTAAGCGTACGGACATCAGTAAAAATGTAAATGTACATAAAATAAATTATTTAAGTGCGTACACTGCTCTCAACAGCACTTTCCCAATCAAAAGTCGCACAAAAGAGATATAAAACCTCGTACAATTCAGACAAATTACCAAAGGATTAACCAACTGCCAGGCTTAGATAAGGGTGGTCCCGTGGCCAATGATAAGAGCGAGGCAAGGACGGTCCCCCAACCCTGGATAAAAAAAAAGCCGGTTTATTATGCTTCACCGGAAGCTCTGCTGTGAACACGCCACACGGGACATCAACACCGCTCGGCAACCCCAGCCGGTGGGCCCGGGGCCGGGTTCACGTAAGCCTCATAAGCGACACTTTTTAATTCGCCCCGAATGTTTTTTTTTATGTAGAGCAAACAAAGCACAAGTAATCGATCGTGACACATCTGTAAATACAGCCGAAAACGCATTCTCAACGCCTGAACGATGTTAATCCTAAAAACGATAATGCACTCGCTTGCATGTAGCATCATCTAAATAAACTCGTTGTCGTTGCGATGGTGAGAGGCCTCGTCCGTTGCGTCACATCAACGCAGAGCCGTCAAGTAGATTGGCGACCCACGATTCACTCGTTCACTCTGCTCGCCGGTGGGCAGTCGCCTCCTCAACACTCTCTTATCGCTACTACCGTGGTGACTGTTCCTGTGAACTTCGCTCATTGATTCCTCTACCCACGCAGAGGACCCGAGTCTATCAGACAGACACTCACCATTCCATCTCACCCCTGCTATGATCAACCATCGCTACACCGCAGGGCACAACTCATTCGCTCAATCACCCACCACACTGCAGGGCAAAACTTGCTCACTCACCCACTCACTCAGCCACTCACTCACTCACCCACTCACCCACCACACTGCAGGGCAAAACTCACTCACCCACTCACTCACCCACTCACCCACTCACTCACCCACCACACTGCAGGGCAAAACTCACTCACCCACTCACTCACTCACCCACTACACTACAGGGCACAACTCACTCACCCACTCACTCACTCAGCCACCCATTCACTCACCCACCACACTGCAGGGCCAAACTCACTCACTCACTCACCCACTACACTACAGGGCACAACTCACTCACTCACCCACTCACCCACTCACTCACCCACCACACTACAGGGCACAACTCACTCACTCACCCTCTCACTCACCCACTCACCCACCCACTGCACTGCAGGTCACAACTCACTCACCTACTCCCTCACCAACCACACTGCAGGTGACCACACCTCTCTTCCTGTGTCTTCCCTCGCACTACTCATCTTTGGAGTTCCCCACCAACGTCTCTATTCCCAAGCAATAGCAACCTCGCTCCATTCAAGAGACGTGTTTATAACTGTCATATATTACAACTTTGACCGTGCCGTTTGTCGCTGGCCGTTTGATGTCTTGGGTCTTTGGGCCCTGTGCTCAGCCATCGTATTAAAATAAAATCCCATTTTATTGGATGTCAGATTTGTTTGGCGTTATTTGGGATGTAATTCCACACCTTCGGATTTAAATGTATTACATCACGATATAGTTTATTGTATGCGCACACCATCTGATTAATCTCAAAATCGCACGTAAACACACGCACGCATGAATCAACAAAACAATAACAGGCTGTACGCATTCTTAATCAGATCATGTCTAAGCTATTTGTAGCTCCGGCCATAATTAAATCAGTTGCAGTCCAAGATGTTAAGTTGTACACAATCCTGGGGGCATGTTAATGAAGCCAATTAAATGGGGTTCGCTCAGAATGAGCAGTCTCAACAACGGGGCTATTAACCGCAATCCCTCCGTGATCTCGGAAAGGAGCATTCACCACCGTCACGCAAACTCCGACCATCCTCTCAGCAGCCAGATTTTGGCTGGCCATCGAACAAAGACGGTCACTGCATTGCGGCGCTTTCACATGCGCTTCTGCGACCGTCTGGAACGCTCTTCCTTCCGATATTAGGAAGCCACTGGAGCAATGCACTTTTATATCCAGATTGACAAACTAATTTCTTTAGAACTGCTTTTTGTGTTAAGTTTGTTTTCCTTTCCCTGAACCTCCCGATTAGCACGGTTGGCTACGTACGGTGCGAAAGAAGTTCAACATACATACATTAATATCTTGGGCAAACGAACATTTGGGAAGAAAGGTGTGTTCCCTTCGGAAACAATGAGAGGCTCCCTTTCAAAACTCTTGCACGCATTTAATGGGACGGGCCTGATGCAAAATAGAAGCGCACTGGGTAATCTCAGCTATTGCTGCATAATTTGAAATATCATCCCTCTTGAGAGGCCCGTATGGCATGAAATGTTTACTCTGGACAGACGCGTGCGTGAAATTACACCGAGAGACACAAAGGGGAACCCGTGGATCGGAGAAAATATGTAGGTTAGCGACACCGATACCGCTTGACAAGAAAGGGATAGAAAGAGTCTGAGAAAACGTCCAACCAAAGGGAGATGGAACCAGCAGATTCAGCTGGTGTGCAGGCGCTACGTGGATTATTACATCGCAATGTCGTGAGAGATGGAACCAGCAGATTCAGCTGGTGTGCAGGCGCTACGTGGATTATTACATCGCAATGTCGTGAGAGATGGAACCAGCAGATTCAGCTGGTGTGCAGGCGCTACGTGGATTATTACATCGCAATGTCGTGAGAGATGGAACCAGCAGATTCAGCTGGTGTGCAGGCGCTACGTGGATTATTACATCGCAATGTCGTGAGAGATGGAACCAGCAGATTCAGCTGGTGTGCAGGCGCTACGTGGATTATTACATCGCAATATCGTGAGAGATGGAACCAGCAGATTCAGCTGGTGTGCAGGCGCTACGTGGATTATTACATCGCAATGTCGTGAGAGGTGGTGATGGCTTGGAGATTATTTCATCCAGCAATATCTTCTGAGGCATTGCACCGACAGCCAATGCCTGCTGTCTGAGTGATCACGACGACGACAATGACATTGACAATGATGATGATGTGAACGAGCGCGCTCGTGCGTGTGTGGCCGACGAGCTCTTACCGTCGGGGAGGCGCGAGGGCAGCAGGAGGCCTCGGCGGCCCAGCTCGGCCAGCGCCAGACAGCCGCCGTGCCACGCCTGGTTCGTCTCGCCAACGCTGGCGGGGGTTAAACAGATCAAAAGGTCAGAGTCAAAATAGTTTCCGGGCTCAAAAGAGCATTGAGGCAGCGCTCATTTCCTCTTTACAGCCCTGAGCAACCAGTGGTGGATATTCCTTAAAAATGGTATTCATTTTTTTATCGACCTCACAGTGATGATGGGCTCCGAGTTAACCCCCAACCAGGATATTAACTTGCAACCCTTCCCATTACGAGCCGCTCGCTCTCTCCCGTGGAGCGGCCTGGCCGGATGAAACCGATACATCGGTGGAGTTGTCTTTTACACCATGCAAGGGCTCACTCGGACCATGAGCCTCTTTTGTAAGAGAGGCCTGTTAATTACAGTGCTCCCATTATCTATATAAGTCTATATACGTCATGCTATTGGATGACCACTACATTTAGCCAGAGACGCAAATAATTGTTGCATTGCTGAATGACAGGTCATATTCACGTACATATACATGAGGTTGTTAAGACTATTCAGGAAATAAATACATATTGTTAATTATTGTTACTATTATTAGGGGTTCTATGCAAAATATCAGTACAGCACAGTGACATCAAAAGAACTTCCTGCATGGGAAAAAAATCTGACTTTTAGATGACGAAGACAAATGCGTGTGATGAATGTGTATCGAGCACTTGTGTCTACCAGGATGGTGATGATGTGATGATGGTGATGATAGTGATGATGATGATGATGTGCTTTCATCATGATGATAGCAAGGATGAAGTTGATGGCAAAAGCTGTTTGATGATGATGATGGAATCTCTCGAAGCCGGACTAAATTCGTGGGAGAGCCTTTTCCGCCTATAGTGGACGTCTGGTATCCTGGAAATAAATGACCAATCGCACAATTCTCTCTGTGTGCCATGTCCAGTCTCAAAGACGTCGGCCATCGAGGACATCCTTCCATTTAACTCTGCCCATGAGATACTCCTCTGAGTTGAAATCCGAACGTTCAAATTGATTACGTAGCTTAATTCACTGTCTTCTCCAGCCTCTTGTGGTACGTAAAATTCCCCGGTCAGACCCCATACACATTCAGTCTCTTATTTTCTGATTGCACATCTAAGAAACCTAACTTGACGAATACATCATTCCAAATACATTATTATAAAACCAAATACGTGATTACTAAAACACTTAATTTACATGTACAAGCAATTAATACTTGACTTTAATAAAAAAAAATGCCCTCCCCCACCCCCACGTCCTCCCCCCCCCACGTCCTCCCGAGTGCTGCCACCACAGTCGTCCATTCCCCAGCACCGTTTGCCGTCGTCCTTGCTCCAATCGTCATCATCATTCGCGAACGTTCTTCCAAGCCCCACCCGTTTAGCGCCCGTCTATTCCACGTTCGACGTGGTGCCGTTTGTCGCTGGCCGCTTGCCGTTGTGCCACCCCCTCCCTCCCCCTTGGGGCCCCGTGCTCAGCAAACGTGATTTTAATAAAAATAAAACACAACAAAAAAAGATCACAAAGGGGAAACTTTTATAAGTGCGGCCAAACGGTTCCCCTGCCCGTCGGCCCTTGCCTGCCCCGTGCAGGTCCACTCCAAATGGGTCGCTTTATGCGCTAGTAAAAGCCATATTTTCCACGTGAATGAGCTGACCTTTCTGAAGCCGGTCGTCAATTACTGGCAATTTACGAGCCTATCGCCGAGATAAAGATCGGCGCAAATTGCGTAAGCCCTGCTTAACATACGAAGGTAGCGCTGCAACTGGCTGCACTGTACCGGGAGAGGTGGGGGAGTGACACAGTTACCCGCCATGTGCTCTTGAACCAGGGACCAGAGTTCGATTCTTGGCCACGGTCAACATCAGTCTTCGTCCTTTTCTCATAAGTATGGCTGATGTTGCCTGTTCTGGATGGTTACCAGAGTCGACGCACGCTACAGCAGAGTTTTTAATTGTCCGTCTGTGCATCGAATGTCCGCATCTAACGTCAGTGGCAGGTAATGCCTGAACACATTCTAGGCCTCCCCGTGTCTTCACCGGCAGAGAACCATTTGAGATAAAAATCCGGATTAGCTAATCATTATTTGTTTTGCGCCGATTTTATTTGCTTCACTGCTCTACTTTCTTTTCATGTTATCGCTTTTGCCATTTTGGTGACTCGGGTGAAACTTGAAAATGTGAGTCAATATCCTGGTCCCTTCGAGTTCTTGCCCGGTTGAACAAAAGTAAATTTGGAAATCGCAGCAGGCTACTGCGTCTTACAATCTGCTACGGGGGAGTGTGTGTGTGTGTGACCGGATTTTTGCTCGCCGATAGCATTTCCCACAAAAGGTCTTGCTACGGCGACACACGGGGAAACTTTGTCTTTGTTTGTTGACCAAATTTGTGTGTAACTTTATTAACGTCGGGCACACGTTTGGGGGTGAGCGTCTTTTCATCCGGAGATCACGGTACGATGATGAAGCCCTCCACCAAACCATTGGCGCCTTTGTGAATTTATTTATGGTTTCGTACAAACTTTTTTTTTACCTTACCTGCAGCTATGATCATTTGGAACGAAGGAGCCAAACATATCCCTAAGTCAATAATTGCCCAGGGTATGTAACAACTCGAGTCTCGGCATGTCAAAATGTAGCCCGCGTGGATTAGCGTCGCAAATATTAATATAATCAGAGTAGAGGATAATTTAATGCATCTGGCACGGCGTTAAAACACACATTGCATTTATCATCAGGAATGCACATCCCACGCCTCAACTGAAGATGCTCGCGCAACTTTAAAACGCGCACACACCCAAAGGGGCAGCACTTAAATTGCCACTCGCGGTAATGTGTGAAAGCTCCTATGCGCGATATTTAAAATCAAATCGTGCAAAGAATGCAATACAAAGTGCTTTACAGGACTAAATGAAGCCACTGACGCAATGTACAACAACAAGAATTATACATTCTTAAAAAATGACATAACATTATAATGAACGAAAAATATAATAAAAATGCACAATAAAAACACAATAAAAGCGTCCCAATTAAAAGCCAATCTAAAAGGTATCTTTGAAGATTACTCTTCCACATGCGCGCACGCTTTATCCCACCACACTTGACGCACCGATCAACTGAACCATGGTGCTCCCTCATACACCTGCTGGGTGAACAGACGCGGACGGATTTTATCAACGTGCACCACTGTTTTAACGTCTGCACCGGCGGGAGATGGAATCTCTCTGGGTTTGCGAGTCCGGTGTGTGCGAACCGGTGCGCCGCAGCATTCCCGACATAAACTGGATTGGATTTTTTGTTGTTGTTAAATCTGCATTGTTCTGTGCCGTCGTAAAAATCACCGGACGCATTGGGTATGTGTGTCCCAACAGGGCGAGCACGAGAAGTGGGAGGGGAAAGAAAACACATCGCAATTTTCTCCCCGGGGGCCTGCGCACATTACACACCGACTGCGATGCAGGTAAGTTACGGCCCTCGTTCCAAGTTTTACGAGAGCGGATCAAAAGCTTTGCACCGAGCAAGGCAGATAAGACACAAGCCGCCCCGGGGCTAGTTTCTCCCCCGCGGGCCGCCGCCAGGGACCATCAGCGGCGAGCCCCCGTGCCGTGGCCGAGAGCGAGCCGCGAGTGTGCCCGTCGTGGAAAATGGGGAGCCGTGGCGCAGTGGTTAGCGCACTGCGCTACAAAACTCCGGGCGGCCCGAGTCCAATTTCTGCTTACGACCGACAACAGTGACAGCGAATGTTTGAACTGGTCGAGGGCTCCTCTAGGTCAGAGCAGCCTTAAATGAGTACCTAGTGCGGTATGTAAACATCAGCTCTGGGGAAACAAAGGCGGTTGGGCACGGTGTTGACCACCCACCCTCTTGTGTGCCGTGCCGGCCATCACAGGTGCTCGCAAATAGCACTTGCCCCGAGAGTAAGTTGAAGGCTATACGGGAGATATTTGTTTCGTCTTTGCCGTGAAAACATCTAATTTAGAGCTGGGTTCTTCAATTATTTGAGTAAGCAATTACTCTCTTTATGATCAGTTTGATTATTCATCTACTCGGATAACATGAACGTATTTGGGGTGGAAAAAAAAATCTCACTTCTGTTCCCATAAAATATCATCACTGGAAACGGAGGAGATGGGCACTGCGATGACATCGTCATTATCGGCCGCGTCACGCAGGGCGTGGCTTGTAGGGGTTTGTCACCTTCAGAAGGAAGGGATGTCGGGGCAGTAGGCAAATTTTCAAGGGGCCCAAGTAATCGATCAAGTCGATTGCAATTTTTTAATCGAGTGATCAACTTAATCGTCGCAATTCTAATCTCAATAGACCAGACACAGGGAAGGGCTGTACTACACGAGACAAGGGGTGGAAATAGTTTCAGGAGTTGAGTCCCTGACAGTCCCGGCTGAAATTAAGCCCTCCTTATCATGCCAGTCACAAATGTAGCTGGCATGTGTCATGTTTGTGATACGTCTAGATGTATCACAATAAATACCGTGGCTATTGTCTTGTAAAGAGAGACCTGGGTGGTGTAGTACCTGGATTGTGCCGCACCTGAATTGTGTAATACCTGGATTGTGTCGTACCTGAATTATGTAATACCTAGATTGTCTAACATGACGCCACTGCAGCGATGTCACTGCGGCACACTTGAAGGTGGAGAGAGTTGGACATCCTGGGAGAGTGCAGCCCGCGTGTGGATCCACAAGGGACCTTTGTGTTCCGAGTCCCCGGCATGTTTGTTCACGACGCAATAACTATCGGCACTGGCAATAAGAAATCAAGGGGGATACGCCGGGATCCGCCGTGGTGGGGGACGACCGACGACATGGGAAAAAGTTAACTCCGGAGCGGAATTCGAGCGGAGGCAAAGGAAAACAGCGGAGGAGAGCAGAAGAGAGGAGAGCGGCGTGATGACGTCACAGAGTTCGGAGGTCACTGCCGGACTGGAACTACTTAAGAATGGTGGTGGCCTTCTCCCGGCTGTGGGAAGCTAGCGGGCTCACAACGACAACAACAACAACGATTGGCATTCTTGGTGCACACTCCCATCGGTTTGTCCAAATGGCATTGCAATGCATCTGTAGAAGCAAGTGAGTTGCAACAAAGTATTATTTTAAAATTAAAACGTGTTTTTTACGTTAATATCTGAATAAGGGCTAAATATTAGAGGGTGTCATAGTGCTAAGCAAGAGGTAATGTTTCATGCCCAGGCATCGAAATTGTAATTAATTTCCCTGGACGCAAACAGCCGCATCGTAAAAAAAAAGTTCCATTAAGTTGCTTCTCCAGTCTGCAGCCCGAGTGCTTTTAAATTCCTGCGTGGGCTGACTGCACTTTACCATCTTGGGACCAAAAAAACATCAACGCAGAAACTCGGCCACGAGCATTCTACGCAGCAATTAAGATACGAATCTGCTGCCCCGCCACAGAGTTTCCCAGCTGCACGAGGAAGGGTGACATTAGAGAAGACTAAATACAGTACAATAACAAACTAAACAGCTGACACACTGGAAGCATCACAGGTGTTTACGAAGACATCCGAGGGCCATATGCAAAGATCAGGACCAGGTGGATCGACCAAGCAGACAGAGTCTTGGCACAATGGGATCTAACCATTACGACAGCAGAGAAGGCTACGAGAGGTGGCGGGAACGCATGTGGACATCACGTGCGGAAACGCATAATTCCAGCTGATGAAGAGGAAAATGAACACGAGTGTGCGGAACCTTTTGTCAGTCACTGCTGGAAGGTCTCCCCACGTTACATCAGGGTCGTGGGGATTGGTTTGACCATACTTCGCCACGTTGGTCAGTGCAGGTTGCCGAAGTGCAGGAGACGTAGGCATGGCGGGTCTGCAGAACGGGTTCAGGGAATCGCTCGCCACTGATGTTAGCCATGGGTGGGAATTGAACTGAGGGCCCTGGGATCATAGTGCAGAGCTCTATCCCACTGTGTGCATTCCATGCGATAGCCAAATGAAGAAAAGAACATGACTGCAGGTCCCTATGAAAGTTTAAATTAATTAACATTCAACATCATGCGAGTTGCAGATTAAACAAATAACCTCCCCGGCATGTTACTACATATCCTTATTGCGTCAATGTCAAATAAATAGCGTGCATGGGTTATTAAAAATGCAGGTATAAGTACATAAGTAAGAAATTGAAACACCTCTTAAGCTCGATTGTGAAATCGCAGATCGTATAAGTTACCGCATCGCAAGTGCTATAAACATTGCAACATTTTGATGGATGGAGGAATCTTCCATCCAAGTAAAAATTATGCTCTTTCTTGACATTTATTTGTTTGTACAAGGCAGAGCCCCACACCATCGTTCCATTTTCATAATGTTCAAACGAACGGAGCATCGAGATGGCCCACTGCAAAATGACGCGTTAGAACAACATCAAAACGCCACCACAGCGGGAGCGTCACAAGCGAGTGACACGCAACTCACGAGGTTCGCAATGCGCACTGTGATTAATGTCAACAGCCTGCGTTAGGCTAAATAAACCCCCCCCCACTCCCCCCGTGGAATTTGGGTGGTCCCGATTCTGGTCATGTGAACGCAGAAATCCATTCCTGGGGTCGTTGCCGCCCGTAAGAGTCATCTCGTCTCGTAGGGTCAGTCAACAGGAAAGCACAAATAAGGATGGCTCTGTCAAGCGTGCCATGGTGGCGAGACATACAGAAGGTCGTGGGTTCGATGCCGACCCTGGTGATGCCTTTATATTTGGAGTGTGCATGTTCTCCCCATGGTGGTCGTGTGGATTTTTCTCCGGGTCCTCCGGTTTTTCACTCCACATTTAAAAATTTGCACGTGATAAGCCACTTCCTTGAGCTATAATTTGTGGCCAGGTCGCTTCTAAAAAAAGAGCAATATAGCTCAGTGGACCTTACCTGGTAAAATGAAAATAGCACAGTTACATACGGTAATGTGCAAGGCTCTCTACCCACCTGCTCAAGCTCAACCAATATTCTCGTAATGCAATGAAGGTGGTGCCATCTTTAAAATGAGAGGCTCATTAAAAGTGCTGTTTAGTGTGCGGCACTCTCTGATAACGTACAAGAATGTCGTTTAACCTAATACACTTACTCAACGTCATAATAAGCCACGGTCAATCCGTCTGACCTCCACGACGCTCATTAAGCACAACGCTCCTCACCGCTCATGTAATGCCCATGGACATCACGGCTCTTCTTTCAGCTAACCCCCCCACTCACTCCACGTGCGAAAATCCTGGCCACGACTACCTCGGACCAGCACAGACCAGTGGCACCGTGGCCAGTTCTGGCTGGCCAGCTCTGCACCACGACCAACCCGGACTCCCAGGGCACGAACATGTGACTGCTATTTCCCCCCGTCCCCCTCCCGCTCCCCAGCCTGTTACGCTAATGACCGTGCGCCGTCATATGAACGGGCGTGCGGCTGCCAAGACCGTGTGTTAGGAGCGCGTAGGATATATTCCAGGCTTCACAGCCCCCACAACGACTTATTCATTAACCTTCATACGGTCACGTCGATGGGGCAGCAGGCTGCTGCTGGGCTTGTGGTCAGAAAGTCGCCGGGTCGAACCGACCTCCTGGCACGACAGCCGAAACGACGATGCAAGTTTCTTAAATGCCCCTCTTCCCCCGCCCCGGCCTCTGTCCACCCGGCAGCGTAAGTGGACTCACCACGGTCAGTCGATGGACAGGTAAAGTGTGGAAGAGTAGGCCAAAATAACCTCTAGATGGGCTCTCTAGAGTTTGCTCCAGAGAGAGAGCTACTGCAGGGCTGCACCACTTTACAAACAGAATGCGGTAAAAAGAAACACAATCATGAGTATGGTACGCAATGTACACTGTATCTCTTTCAGACTTTCTGATCGCTTCCATTACCTACCAATTTAATATCTTCGTGCCAACGATGACATCACCCGATGTCACGCAGCATTAATTTTGTCGGCAAAAGCGCGTAAGTGACATCGCGAAAGTGACGTCACGTCCTTTGATGTCAGGTTATCGGATCAATCCCAAGCAAATGCTTTTGTCGGATCGTCCAAAATGTCGTACATCTAGGCACGAGTTGGCGACTTTTTTCTTGGACTAATCCAAAACTCGGGAACACATCGCTAATAAATGCGTGTGCTTGTGAGCATCACAGCATGCAGCGTAATACGTTGCGCTTTCTAATGTCAACAAATTGGAAACATCAGTGTACATGGCTTATGATGAATTTAGACACTGATATGTCAACAGCAGTTTGCTTATGGCACAAACACAACTGACCGAGGCCCAGAGGTGACAAGGCACAATCCTGCTTGATCCCCTTTCCCATGAATACATCGTCATCAAAACAATAATAATTGACAGACGTTTGTCAATACACTACTCGACTTCGGCCTTCCCCCATGCTGTGTCAGCTGTGGGAGGGTTGTTTGACCGTACTTGACCACGCTGGACCGGTGCCAGCTGGCGAAAGAAAGGGGACATAGGGCCGGCTCAGATTTCACGAGCCACTGATGTCAGCCATGGCTGGGAATTGAACACAAGTAGCCAGGTAGCACGGTGAGCTAATCACGGAACCACCGCTGTTCCCCATGAACAGTCACCACCAACCAACATGTTCGAAAGAGAGGTGGGATACCCCCGAAAAGCCACACCCAACACAATGCATATATAATTACAAATTTGACGTCGCCAAGCTCCGCCTAACACCTCCCGTCCAGCGGCACGCGTGTGTACGGAGGGGGACTTTTTTTCATCAACCATTGTCGTGTTAGCCCGTTTAGTGGAGTTATGAAACCAGTGCGGCAATGGATCGCTTCAGTGATCTGCGAGTCCGACCCTGCACACGTGCAGCAAGCGTTGTGCGCAACATCGGTGAGCAGGCTTCGCAGCGGTACCTGAGACACTCCAGGATGGACGCCACGACGTCATCAGCCAGGTCCTTCTGAAGCCTCCCCGTCACGCGTCCAATCCTGCCACAAGCAACAACAAAACACGTTTTCCACCGGCACGTCCGAGCCGAGCCAGACCAGGGCCCTCACGTTACTACGGGTGCTTTTTTTTCACTGGCAATTTGACACGCAGAGCCGGAACCACACCGTGATACGCTGGCCTCACGAGAAGACATATGAATGTACCTCGGGGCCAAGCAGGGCCAGGGGTAAGGAGAACAAAGCATTTGTTGCGCGTGACGTCAGTGCACCGTGTTCCATTCCTATACTTTGCACTCCGGACTGAGCATCTGTGAAAAAGAGCTTTATAGCTCATCGGATTGCTCCAGTGTAAATAAAGATTTAGATTCTGACCATGAGGGCACGGCTCCTCCGCATCATCTAAATGCGTCTCAACACTTTCGGCACGGCCTCAGCATAGTAGCTCATGGGCCAGAGTGAAAGCTGGTACCCCCGTGGGTAGCAAAACTTTAGCCGTACTAATTCACTTTTATGGCTAATGAGTGAATTACTTGATAACCCCCACTCATCTAAAATTGCTATCACATAATTCACGATTATTGGCCACTTAAAGAGATTTGAACGACCAACATCATGCAATCGCAAGGAGTTTCGAGTAAGTGCGACATCCTGTGGAAAAGTTTGATTGTTTCTCAAGCTGTCGAGGTGCATTGGGGGGGTATGCGATCAAAACTCACCCTTTGGCAGCCGACCACCTAACAACGGTGTCCTTGTCTTTCAAGCCAGACAGCAGATGCTCTGCAAAGCACATGCCGGAGAGGAGTGCGATTATTTAACCGACGTGTAAATCCACATTTCTAACACGAAGCAGGCTTTTCGCTATCGACGTAATGATGGCGTAATTGGGATTTTTGGGATGGATCGCGAAACTAAAATGTTGTGTCGTGAACCCTCCACCACCCGACGCAGCCAAATAGTCGAGTTGCCACACGATGAACCAACACGGCCAAGTTGATCACCGCTTCAACAGCACCGCATTTAACAACTGGGTACGAGACGCCTCGCTGGTAGTTAACACCGCCAGCGTCATCACGCGGTTGCCAAAAATCTGAAAATGTCCTGGAGTCGTGCTATGATGGCAAGCAAACGGCGCCCCACCAGATGGATTCCGGCAAACATTGGTAGTGACAAAGAGCCCAGCACAAGCATGCGTTTCATTCTTTTTTCTTTCCCAACCAGATGAGGATATCTTCATAACGCCACTGGTCACGTCACCCAAAGCATTCGCAAATGTCACTGGAAATGTAACGTGTCTTAGGGCTGTCAAGTTAGTTTACATTCCGGGGAAATCAAAACGATTGTGCTCCACGTGAAGAGAAAAGGCCAAGTCCATTACAGACAATTACATTGCGACGGGGGGCAATCACTGAAGTGAAATGGCAGCTCTGACTGTGGCGGCAGAAAGAAAAAAAAACGCCGGCTCATCGAAAACCGCCGCTTGCGTGAGCGCGCAATGCCGTCGCGGCCCCGTAGCGGCACCGTAGCGGCGCCGTCGCACCACAAGTGAACCCCGCGAGCTTCTCCGCCGGGCCGCGGCGACCCGCCGCGTGTTCCTGGCGAGGCTCGACCAACGCCTCGCGTGGCGCTCCTCTGGAGGGCTTCGTGGCGGCGCCTACACGGCTCTGCAGCGCGTGCAACGTGCGCTCCCGTTGGAGTAGCTATGTTGTCCGGTTGGAGTAGCTATGTTGTCTGGCCATCTCGCTCCGTGGCATCTGACGTGTTGCCGCTGGTGCTCCCGACAAGTGCGGCGAACTGTTATTATATTGACATTGTTGTTATATTGACATTGTTATATTACTGTTGTTGTTATTATATTGACATTGTTATTATATTACTGTTGTTGTTATATTGACATTGTTATTATATTGACATTATTATATTGACATAGTTATATTACTGTTGCGATACTGCTTGTCTCGTGACTCTTTTTCAAGAGGGTCCTGCCAAGTTTTCGTAGTTAGAGGGCGATGATCGGTATGTACAATCCCAATTGAGAAATTTCCAGTTTAATATTTTTCATTTGGAAAACACCGCACTGAGAACCGGACTTTGATTCCTGGCCATGGATATCTGAATCTATCTATACTCACCCACACTGACCGGTATGGTCAAGTACATTTCAACCACCCCTATCATCGACATGTAGGCCTTCATCACGAATCGGACTGATAAAAAAAATAAAGTAACGTTTGACATCTTGCTCAATGAGTGTTGACACCACGGTGTTCATCTCTCTTTTACAGCCCCGAGCCGGTGGTGGGAAACTCCACATTCCCATGGCAGGGATGAGTCTACCTGCAGGATAACCACTGACAAATTACATACAGAGTGCTAATAATTTTTACCAACCATGGAGGGACAATGGACTGAGTCACTCCCAACCGGAATTTGAACTCACAACCTTCCCGTTGCTAGCGTCTCGGTGTACCGCTGAGCCACCTGTACACAACACCACACGTATACTCCACTCCGACTGGGCGAAGCACAAACGTGCCGGGAGGCCGCAGGATAACAAGAGCTCGATGGGGGGGGGGGGAACGTGGAGCGGAGGAGTAGTGAACGCGCCCGGTGAGTAGGCACGAGGGTGCACGTGATCGGTTGTTGTGGCGAGCGACGCATTTAGAATTAGCTCACAGGTGAACATGAGATTGTGTGCGCTGACTTGACAATCAACGCGGTCAGATTATCGGCAAAGGTCACAAAATAAACCGAGCCACGAGACGAGAGGCAAGTGCCATCGTCGGCACTAAAACTCTGAGGGGATCTGATGATGGGGGAATCGACCAAATTGGAAGTATTCCGGTAAAGGTTGCCGACAGACATTTCGCTTATTTGATATTTAAACAACTTTCAGTGGCATAAGACGTGTGGACTACTTACTGTCAAAATGACAATCTCTGCTGTCTCTCTCTTAAGATGACATCAAAGCAACACACCTATTCACAAGCTGAAGTTCTTGATGCCTATTAGCTGTAGGCAGGTAGTTTACAAAAAAGCCTATGCAATTCTAGTTAGGCGGTGCAGATTGTTCAACATGTGGAGATGTTTTCGGGGAGGTAACATTGTCGCACTGAAGCCGAATGGGTTTTTGAATGTGTGAAAGGTGCAACAATTATATCGGCTAGTGCTATTATTATTTTAACGAGTGCGGGCGCTATTCACGGCCAACTTACAGAGAGGGCCGATGCTTTGCTGCCGTTCACAAAACAGCAACAGGTCAAGGGTGCGGTGGGGACCAAGTGAAAACCTTTACTGCGCGTCGCTGAAATCTCCACAAAGGCCCTGCCGGGGGCCAACGTGTCACTGAGCACAACACAGAACTGGAAACCAATGGGATTAGAAATGTCCTGCAGACGGCGATGGATGTGGATCTTCTGGAGGCGCATCACTGTCGACATGCACATTCCAATTGAAACTTGCGGGCGAGTATTTTCAAGGCCACGGCTCGGAATTTCCCGCCAATTTTAGACCGTGTAGCCTGCGGCGCAACTCATTTCTCACAAGCGGCCTGCCGCAAGGCTTTGTTCGCAATTAGCCAGGAGGGGAAGACGCAGCAGCAGGGTTTCCCATTGACCCTCGCTGCTGCGTGGACAGGGGGACGCGTGAATGCAGATACGGTCTCCCATGGGAGCGGTCGTGTGGCCCCCACACTCGCGGAGGTCGCTCGCATGGCCACCTTCAAAGCTCGTCCACGAGACCGTCACTATTTTCATGAAGAGCGGCGGCGAATTCACTTCACGCAATTTTAACTTGCCTTCCACAAACAAATATCCGTGCGGGACGGAGCGGGAGCGGGCGTCGCCCCACACTACGCCCAGAACGTTTCGCGGTCCCGGTGCGCGGGGCGAAACGTCGGACATCGCGCCGCAAACACGGTGGAGAGCAAGGCAGCGCTGACCGCGACAAACCCCACGAGTTGTTTGATGTCAGCGCTGTGTGAAAATTCCTCGGGAAGAAAATTCACGGCAAAAGCGACGATTTGCCCTTCTGAGTCAACAGTGCAATGAATTTGGAGAAGAAGAAGACAACAAAAAGAAGCCGCCCACACTGACGCAGAGGCAAAGCTCTCGGCTAACACTGGACCCTCGAGCGCAGTCAGTCGTGAAGTCATAATCCGCTTTTAATTCAACGAGCGTCCGCGCTGCTGCTCCCGATGCTGCTGCGAGCGAGCGCGGCAGCCGTCACCCTCGCGGCCGCACAGCGCCGCCGCACGGGGCACAGACGCCGCGGTGGACGTGCGTATTTCGGGACGCGGCGGCCGCCCCGACCGGTTTCCCGGGCCGGGCTGGCAGGCTCGCGTGACCAACTCATGGCCCCGGGACACGTCAAGGCCACGTGAATGACGGTCCCGGGCCCGCCACTCGGGGCGCCCCCACCTGCCCGACCTCCCCCGCCACGCTGACAGCCATTAGTGGCAAGCAAGTGTCCGTCAGAGGGGCAATCGAGCGCTCTGCCCCGGGGCGTCGGGGACCTCAAGAGGCCACTGCACTCGGGCGCCGCCACCACGAGGAAACGCCTTGTCAGCCGCTCTGTCTCGCGTCGCCGCCGGACAAACGGAGACATTCCGAGTCGCTTGCCAAAAGGGACAATTATTTGTGAGCGTCTCAGATGGGGCGGTACCCCCCGCCCTCGACTGCTGGCCGTGTAAAACATTTTTTTTTTACAAAATAACAAATGGGCATGTTTGTTAGGTGGGCATGGTGGCGTTGTAAGTCACCGTGGTAATTGAAAAAAATAGACAAAAAACACTTTCCGACTAATGTTGAAAGTGTTAAAGCATTAGCTTTGACCTTTCGTATAAAGTTGTTGTGCTGCGATTGGGGACCACAATCCGAAAGCAACACGGACACATTTATCAAAGGGTTTCCCAAAACTTGAGAGATTAAAACCAGCGGTACAAGGATGAGTTTTGGCATCTGCACCCTGCCAACGCCACCCCCCATCCCCAATGATGTCACGACACCCGACATCATCTCGCGGCTTCACGTGCTGTGTATCGCGGATTGAGCCGAGTTCTCGTTAACAACTCTGATTAATCTGGATGTCATCGCCAGCGAAACGCCGGATAAAAATTGTCAAAATATAGCTTGCATTTTCTTAAGACTTGGATGAAAACAGTTTAGGTGACTCCCGACATGCACGGCACGCGCAGTTCGCTCTCGTACCGATGATCCCCTCCATCTCTTCCGGAATGTCGTCATCCTCATCGTCACCGTCGTCGCCGTCATTGGCTCGGGGTGCCGCGGAGGCCTGCGAGGAGACGATGAGGGGGCTTTGCTGCTGCTGCTGCTGCCCTGGCGCCTGCAGGTTCTCCAACAGCGAGCGGCTGCCGCGCTGGTACCTGCGTCGCGAGCGCCGCCGAAACGCATCCGCCGATGTTAGTACGCTCAGCATCGTTTTGGTTTAGTTGCGAGCCTAATCCTCGTCTGTGGGATTCGTTCTGCCGTTATCAGGTCAGCCAATCAGTGAACTCCATAAATATTTTGACCATGCGTGTACAACCAATCACCGTTCTTGGTCTTCCCCGGTGCGCTAAAGTCTCCAGTGACATCACTAAACCAATAAGCATCCAAACACGCCAATTTCGCATCGATCTGAGTGGGGTCATGCTTTGGTCTTTGGCATTAAAAGTTACGCGTGATGATTTCTACGCAAAGATACTGGACTAATATATTTTACCTACGTGACTTTACCGAAAAAACCTAAGAGTATGTAGGTAACATTGTGCACGTGTGTGGGGAGCGGTGGCGCAGTGGTTAGCACGCTGCGCTATGAAGCCAGCGACCCGAGTTCGATTTCCGCTCACGGCCAACACCAGTGACAATGATCTGAACCGGTCTTGGGCCTCCCCTAAGTTGACTAAGCCTCAAATGAGTACCCAATGCGGTGTGTAAACATCGCCACTGGGGAGACCAAAAGCGACCGGGCGTGGTGTTGGCCACCCACCCCCTCTTGTGCCGTGGCGGCCTTCACAGGTGCTCGGTAACAGCACTTGCCCCAACAGTCTGTTCAGGCTACACGGGGGATCTTTGTCTTCGTGCGAGCGCTCACCGCCACGCGGCCAGCTTGGGCTTGAGGAAGGTGAGTCCGATGCGCTGCACCAGCTTGATGGAGAGCTTGCGCAGGTTCGTGTTGCTCGCCTCCAACAGTCTGCACTTCACCACGCACCGCAGCACCACCGACGCTACGGGAGACAGCAATGGTCGCGCGGTTGTAAGTGAAGCGGTGGCTGCGGTGGCGTTGATAAAGCCGTATAGCCCACGGCCCTGCTCACCCGTTATGATCAAATAATAATTGACGCCGTGTCCATTGCAGGAGTTGTTATCAGACCATACTTCGCCATGGTCGTCATTGCGGGTTGGGGGAGGAGGGGATGGTTGCATCATGAGTGGCCCCATCATGCACCTCAGATTTGCATGGTTGACTATGTATGGTGCGAAATAAGTTCAACATACACACGTTATGCAGAATGAAGACTTTCCTCGGCTGTGGAAGCAAAAGGAAGTATAAAGGTGTCCTCAACAACTCGTTTCGATATTCTTTTTATCTTGTGCTCACCGTGCGGTAGAAAATCGTCTCTCTTTCCATGCTTGAACATCTGGGCCTGAAAAAAAAACGCAGGATGTCTCACAATATATAACGTAAGGTGGCCACGGGAAGCAGAGCACCCCGCCATAAACATGAACCATACCGCCAACAGACTTTCATGCGGGAGGTGGTTCAGAGGTCAAAGTCAGCACCGGCTGAGATCCTGGGTTTAAATCTGGGCAGCCACCCATGATAAAAAATGGGTTCTCACAAACAACGAATTGATGGTCTTAGTGCAGTCACCGATGATTGAACGCAAAAAACCCCGTCATATTACATTTGGTTTGTGCAGTTGGATTTGGCCGAATCTGGAAATTAAAAATCTGGGAATTAAAAAAATAATATCAGTTTGACCGCCACATGGCAGGGCTTGTGGGGAAGTGTGTGTCCCCCAAGGTCACTTGAAGATTGTTTTAACAGTCCTGGTTTTTGACACGTGGGACGGCACTGCTCATGACAACGAGAGCACATTTGGCATAAATTGGCAGAAAAGACAAAACATAAAAAGGCTATCGAACAAAAATAATGAAAAACACCTGCATAGTTTATGGCATAAATAGCACGAGAATCGAAATGTGCGAATTTCAGAAGCGCCCTTCAGGTTTAATCACTCATAAGTGACTCCGTGCAAACCTAGTCATGCTACTTTTTAAGGTAAAATAATAATTAGAAGACGAGGTGACATCTAAGTTCAGTAAGCCTGAACATGTCTGACTGACAAATTTCATAATGCGGGTAGAAAAAAAATTTGTCAATCAAAAGAGAGCGCTCACAATGCAGAAGTCTCCGTGGATTGTTCAGAGTGACCAATTACGAGATGACGCGCCACGTTCGCGTTATAATCTCATTTCCAAGCTGTCACACGCTGACAGAGACTTCACATGAGTGGCGACACGGCCCGGCGAGGAGCGCGCTCGCCGCTTGTCGTAAAGGTTCATGGATCGAAACTCGCGTCCACCCTGGTTAATACTGTGGGCGTATTAACCGTCAATACGCGCCCCCATTGAGAGAAACATTAATCATTTTTCGAACTTTCGGAGACAGATCCATTAATCAACCCGACCGTGTCCTGAGACAACCTAACTCCCTCCCATTGGGGGAAAGTACCACTCTCGTCTCATGAACTGTGACTCGCAAACACAAAGCAGGCTCTCAAGTCTTTCCCGCTGGGAGACTGGCCATGGGATGATGGCTCGCAGCATGGGTCACGTGACCCGGCCACCAGCGAGACACAGCGACGGGTTCCTCAAAAAGGCAATGGCCTCGTTGCTCTCTTTGCGATCTCGACTAAAACCTTCTCACGGATGGGTGTTCTTTCGAACAATTCTAATGGGTGCTGAATTGTCCTAGCTGGTGAACCCATTCCATGTCATTATGGACACACGCAGAGTTTCTGAAAAACCACAACTCATCATTAGCAGGAATCAATAATGTTCACTCTGGCTGAACCTCAAATCATGAAAAAAAAACATTAAAATGATAAATGTTCTTCCCCTGATCAAAAAAAGCCACCAAAAATCAAAACAACTCGTACGCACGAGGGGGCTTTTCATCCAAAATGATAGGTGTGTAATGTGAAGTTTTAAATAGTCTTACGTTTAAATGGCAAATCGATTCATCATTGCTCGCTGATCCCTGGATTGTCAAATTGGGGACTTCTTTGTAGCGAGTGATTAATAGCGCCCGTGACACATTTACAGCTGTGAAGATTGCGCATGGAGGAGAATGCGGGTAGAGGTGGAGGGTTTGGTGCGATGGGTGTGTGTGTCATCTCACTGGAGGTGAGGGCAAAGTGCTGCTGAAATCGCTGCTGCGTCAATATCACAGCCCCCAGGGAGCGCACAACCAAGAGGAACCCGTCCAAAAAAATAAAATAGCAACGCACAAAATGATAAATTTCCACGTCATTTCAAAGTCTTTCTAGCATTTCTCTGCAGCCCTAATTCACCTTTCCCCCAGCCTCTCTGAGATATGCGAACGGCCTACGTGATGCCTGCGAGTCACGATGCTGAGCAAGTATGTCATGACCCACCTCCCCATCCATCCACGGATCGATTGTCACGATTCTCGGTCACGAACCTGGGTCAAGAATCGACGCTTTTATGCCTCGTTTGCGCCATCCGTTTTGCACGTTCTGTCTTTTTTAATGTCTCGTCCATTCTACGAGCCCGATCGCTTGCACATTAAACGTTTTGAATTACATATACAGTAATATACTTACGGACGCACTTTGGTGCAGATATCGTGAGAGTAAGTATCGATTATAATCAACAAAAGATCAATCAACGAAGCGCCTCATGCTTAAGGATCCGTGCCAAGGTTTCACATGTCAATTTTGTCATGAACTCTAGAGCATTTAATTCACGAGATATAAGTCGTGTCTGACATGAACTGACTTGCCACAAATCCGGTTGCTAATTATATACAGAGTTCAATGTTGCTGGGCTCAATGCCAGTCCAGAGCCACTTCTTAAAATAAGACCTGCTGGGATCAAATATGCACCATGCCAGGGACCATGGGAGGATACCACAATACTGTGCACCTTGTTGGTTGGTAGGCGGGTGACATGGCCTCGTGGTAGTGCGATCGCCGCTTATTTATTGTAGAGGTTCACAGCTTGAATCCAGCGGCCAGCCTCATTATTACTGCAGGTGTAATAACTGTAATAGTACTGTACTACACGCCGTGTGCTTCACAGTAGACGTTAAAGATCTCCCGAAGGAATTCGCAAGCACTGACTGGCTTTTTCGCACACTCCGTCAGGCGAACGAAAAGTAATTATCAAAGCCCGAAGTTTTGAAAAACAAACATCTCCGTCTATCAACTTGGTTGTTTTTTGCTTGCGCACATGCCACTGACACCACGCGCTGCAGCCCGGCGCTAAGCACGGCGGCCTACTGGTAGGCTGCGAGTGAGCTCACGGTCACGGCGATCGCCAAGGTCTCCAACAAAACATGCGTTGAGATGCAAAACTGCCAGGGCCACCCTTCTGTTTCCTCTGCAGAGACACCTTGAGTGATCGTACATTTTCCCATGTGACAGGTGTATTTTTGCACACGTTATGGCCTCAGTCTACGCACGCCTGCAGCACTGCATGCTCTGGCAGAGGTGTCAAATTCAGCTCTTGCCCTTCTTATTCGGCCCTAAGGGGTTGGAGTCTCTGCTCTAAGAGAGGGTAGGCGCAGGGGGGGGTTGTGCGTGTGCATGTGCGTGCGTGTATGGGTGAGTGTGAGTTTCGCATAAGGTCAAGCATCCGGGCATTTGCGTTCGTTTGGCTTTCTGATGGATGATTTAGAAAATTAACATCGGTGAGTTACTTTCATCCCAAACAAACCCCACAAATTTGCGTATACTTTAAAACTAATATGCGGATCATCGTGCCTTTTATAATTTTTCAGTGCTGAGCCCATTAATCAGAGACATTAATTTATTTATTTTAAATCTTTTTATGCAAACGATTGTAATCGGCGGCCAGCGTGGCGCGGTGATGATGAGCAATGACGACGATATCCTCAACGCATATCAACCCTGTACTTGAAATGCGCTTCTACCAGTCCCGTGCGTGGAGTCTGTTAATTAAATCGAACGAATCTAAAGTAATTAATCCAATTATTAATTTATCCAATAAATAATCCAAGAATAATCTCATGGATGAATCAATGATTTCAACAGTCGACAAACTGCAGCACAACTAGATACGGAAGAGGGAACAGCAAAACGACACAAACTCTATCCTGAATGCCCGCTTATCGTCGTGGCCAGCAGAACTCGACATTGCAATATAGCTCCTGAACCTATTGCTGCCATCGCGTGCAAGAACGGGAATAATTGTACAGCGCCGTAAAGATGCGTGCAATTGTTGCGCTGTTGCGAGCCGAGCAAAGTGCTCTCTACCAGGGAGCGGAGCATGCCATCAGCCCTCGCCTCCTGCTCCAGGGTCCCCATCTCCATGCTGCTCAGTGCCGATAAGCTCCAATCCATGAAGTGCGGGAGGTGTTTCTGCTTCACGTCCGGTCGGGTCACAAACCTGCCGCCACCGACATCATCGCGTCACGACAAACGACAGCGACTTGTTCACCGACGCACCGTGAAGAAGGGCCATTGCCGGAAATGTCACCTTTTAGAAAAAATTTTCATTACGTGGCCACGGTGGTATTGACAAACGCGTTGAGTTTTTTGTTGTTGTTTTTGATATGGCGCCCTCCTCTACGCTGGGGCGTTTCAAAGCACTTGACACGCAATCAGCCACTTACATTGCATCTCATCTCAAACATTAGAAAGGGAACCGCCAGTGGCAGCTGTCCCTGTGTGGAACAAGGTGGCTTCAGCACCTCACCTGCAATTGGGCATTAGTGTACCAGTAGTGGGAAATTATTTATTTTAAAATCTGTAACACGTATAAACACACATGCTGTGAGAAAAGGATGACCTCATATAAAGACCGTTCTGTCAATTTATCTAGAAAACTTGTACAACGCACTAATGTCACTAATTTAATGATTAACAGCTTAGACCTTTGAATATTATATTTCACCAACTATCACCGATCAGGGGAGTGACGATCAGGAGAGTGACGTGTGGTTAAACAATGTCCAAAGCTGGCATGGCTTGGTGAGGTCTAAATCCAGCAGTGGATTGGCAAAGGGCTGCAATTTGCGTTGTATTCTCATATTCAAAACGCTCATGTACACGGCACTGTATATACACCGTATGTATTTAATCTAAACTTCAGAGAATCCTGTAAAATACTTCAGGTCCAACTTATTATATTAGAGACCATTACTTTGGCTCAATGAGCCACAAAGGCTGATATGGAAGCATCTCCATTTCTAAGCATCACACACTAAAGCCAAACCTTACAAAATGTTGCCACCTGGTGGCCAACGCTATGATCCTACAATGTGCATCCTCTCCCCCCCCCCCCATAACAAAACATGTTTTACACAACCCACCAGCCATACGCTCTTCTCGGGGTGCATCACTTCAGCAGTATTGGTTTATTATTTATTTTTATGATTTATTTTTATTATTTATTTTTTACCTACGTGACTTTAACCAAAAAACCTAAGAGTATGAATCCTTGCAGTCACGAAAGCTTCAAATCTAGAATTAAGAAAATCTTGGACCGGGTTAAACATTCAGTGTGCTGAGCGGCTGGTGGCGTCCTCTGGTTGGTAAGACATTGCTTTGGAGAAGCTTCTTCTGGAAGATGATTTGAACGTCTAGATTAGCACGCGTCTTTCCAGAAGACAAACGCATTCTCTGGATTACAAGACGCACCCTAACTTTTGCTTTAAACTGCAGGGAAACAAAGCATGTTTTTTTATTCGAGAGAATACGGTACTCCTAACAGTGGACCACCACGTATGGCTGGCGGTCACTCAGAATGATTTCTTAATTAAAGTACCCATGATGGATTTGGGATATCTCGCTCAATTCCACTCACTTACTTTGCCACGAGGGTTGCGGCGGCATTTCTGGGTGAATCTGTCACCACGAGGTACGTCTGCTCCAGAAGCACGAGGAAACAAAGCCATTAGCCGACGAAACAACCGAAAGACAGGCGGACACAACTGCAGCTCACGACGACTGTCGTTCCAAACAGTGTCAATTGAAATAAAGTTTGCATGCAACGACTGCAGTAAGTGCCGTATGACGAGCAGATGAGGCATGGTGGATGCGGTGTGCTGGTTGTGGCTGGAACTAATACGTGGCATTGGCTCGAATTTTTACTTCTTGGACTCACAAATCCGCCACATTATACGATAATTTTCAGTTTCACTTTTAACGTCTCATTATACCATCTTATTCCCCTTCAATGTCTTTAAGATCTGCCTATGGTGGCTCTCCGACAGTGTCGATATCCCCGAGCTCTCATACTCTGATCGTTGCATTGTCTTTGAGTTGTGCGCCTTTTGGCTTCATCTGGTCCAACACCATGTGAGACTAGGCTCTAAGGAAAGCTGTCTCGGGTGTAGACCAATCAATTTCAAAGACAGTGCATGCATTATCAGAGTTGTTGGTATTGTTTGCATTCCGACTGCAGGTATTGTGGTCAATGCAAACATGACTCCTTGTAAAAAAGGTGTCAGTTTTGTTGCCAGATAAAAGGGTAAAAAAAGCAATTCTCATATTTTGCTACTGGCAAAGGAGGTTCCAATAGTGTTGATATCTTTAAGCCCCGAGTAGAAACACATCTCTTTAAAAAAAAAGGTCCTCTTCAATATGGCTCTTATTTTTGGCACCCGGCTCCTTCTCTATTATCCTTGTACTTGTCAAGCATGGCGCCTTGGGACACTGTGAAAGGCGCCTACTCAGTGCAAATGATGATGATTATTGCTAAGCGCTGCCTTGTTTAGTAACGACGAGCATGGCTTTGTTTTGGCGGCGGAGGAAGCACCTTGGCGACGTCGAGGACGCGCTCCATCACGGGTTTGCGCTCGGATCCGCTCACGCCCCCGGGCAGCGCTCCGTCGAAGCGCGTCAGGTCGAAGGGAATGAGCGACAGCATGGAGAGCCACAGCAGCAAGATGTATCGCGTCTGCCACGTCTGCAACGCACATGACACCAGGGCCCAGAGACAATGGTTCCTCGATTGTCCGGGGCTACCCCGACGGGTCAAGCGCAGCTGCCCGGTCTAGTGGCCGATCAGCTGTCGCTGTGCCCCATATCCGCATGATTATTTTTTATTTTATTCAATGATTGCACAATTACTACATTTTTATTTCATTTATGCATAACTTAACACGTCAATTCTTCGAACCCAATCTCATGATTCAAAATAATTTTTTGGGTAAGACCAATTTACATGTAGAATTTCCACCTAATAGCAACTAAATATTAAATGTATTATTTTCCACTACATATAAATAAGAAATCACTACTATACAGTTTACGCTGAGTCACTTACCATCACCGTGAAGGCAAGAGGAAAGGCTGAGATTCCCCGGATGTGCAAAGCTGCAGAGATGTGTTTGTGGGAGCGAAGACTAATCTAGTACTCCTGAAATAACACCTCAATAAATGTGAAAAACTAGAGCATACGCAGAACACATGGGTTCTACAAATGCCATGGAACAGATAAGTATATAGCTGTAGAATTGCTAGTGCACACACGTAAATCAACACTGCTCAGGGACCCCATACCCCACGTGACCACCTCATGGTTCATGGTGTCACGCGCGTACCCCCCCCCCCACCGGAGCCACGTACGTACCACAGGTTGGGAACTGCTGCTGATTCCACAGCAGTGCACTGCTAATGGCTGTGATATTATCCATGCTGCGTTGGTCATGATCATCAGCTTCAATGGAAGCAAATGCAAAGTAATGAATCACAACTAAGTGGTTTAACTATTTGCCAGTAACTTCCCTTGCAGTGTAATTGGATCAACAGCAAAAAAATTAAACAAGCTGAAGCCAACAGACGGCCAATAAATATGCATCTCAACCTGGACGGTGGGAGTCTGTGTGCCAACTCACCTCTCGATCCATGGGGTCTTGAGCCTCGAGCAGAGCCAGCACTGGCTCAAAGTCCGCCACTTCGTGCGGGAACAAACGGATGAAGGGTTTGTAGGTGCGCACCTGCAATCCCGAGGCACGGGATTAACATGCTAGATTCCACATGTTACCTTCACCATCATCGTGATATCTCATCCATAGTACCACCATTAATCCACTTGGCACAACAATCTCACTTGAGCTGCCATCTCAAACATTACAATTGCTTGCGGCAGTTCAGTCTGAGGCACCCCCACTGGCAGCTGTCCATTTGCGGCACGAGGTGTACACAGCATCGACCTGCAAATGGGTATAGTCTGCCACCAAGGGGTGATGTTGCTAAATGCATTTTCCAAATTAGGTCATTTGTCTTAAGTCATTCTAGATTTGACGTTTTCGTGACTGCAAGGATCCATACTCTTTGGTTCTTTCGGTAAAGTCACGTAGGTGAAAAAATAAAATTACAATAAATAAATTAAATCACGGCGTTTCGATTGCAACACAAGCAATCATCACCAGGTGTGACAACCACAGCAAGAACATGTTTTGCTGAAGTGGGAGAGAAGCCAGAGTTAAGGCGTTTATATAAATCAGAGAGGGCGGTGGGGTGGGGGGGGAATAAGTTTGTCATTCAATTCCGGTTACATTTCAACTACATTAAAATTGTGCTTAGGAGTGTCATGCCATGAGACAGAGAATTTTCCACTTAGAAACGCTCACCTAAAGTAGTGCACCACCCCACGTTAAAATATTTCCCCTGGAAGGGGATATCACAGAAATATTTCTGCGATTCATATTCAATTGGCTAGTTTTTACACTGGAGATGCTGCGTCTTTTCTCACCATACTACCCAGGTGTCAATCGTGGCAAACAAACTTAATATTGGCAAGTGCAAAATAATTTGAACGCAATTTGTTTTTAGTGCAGTCATTTATGACCGAGCTGAGATGACTAACTCGCTACACTTGGTGTAATCGTGAGTTAGCCTGGATTTGAACCCAGGATATTAGCAGTGCGTGGACATGGTATTAGCCAATGCCCAAGAGGAAAACCAAATAATCTAATTTATTCACAATAATTCTAATCATGTCCATTACATTGGTAACCCAGCTTGCACAAGCTGAATTCCAAGCTCTGCTTTACCCAATGCTTCCTGCTGAAGCAGTCACATTCTCCACCGCTAGATGGAGTCCTATTCAGAGGACTGCATGCACCAACACGTTTTTAAGCATTATTGTTCCGCTTATTTACCCAGGAGAGGCACGTGCACTGCGGCTGATATGCCAATAAATCATAGCAGCCCACCAGTGGGACAATGGTGCATGAGAAGGTTACATATCCAGAGGGCAGTGGGTCCATGAGAATCAATACCTTGGAGATTATGTACAGGAACTTGCAGGTGATGTGCATGAGGTCAGGCGAGTCTTCGGACCTCACCATAGGCAACATCAAGTCCAGAATCCACTCTGTCAACAACACTGTGTGCACGACATGTGGCTTAGTGGCTGAGTGATCTGTTGCCTGATGCATGCAGAGAGAATGCTTGCGAGTTGGCAATTATAACTCAACTTTCTGCGCTTATTGAATAGTGTTATGGCAAAATTCTAGTCGTTAATAACGAAAATATTGTCATAAAACTACCGCGTGGCTTAACCCAAAAACAAAATAGGGATCCTATCATTGGCTACGAAAACCTACACTTTCATTTTCACTCCGTCAATACCAAACACATCCGAGAATAAATGTAAAGAATTCAGAGGTTTATACATTGCTATGAGGTGCAAATGTTGTGGGATTTCATTTTCTGTTTCAAGGTTTATCAATCACAAGAAGAGCACATGTCATTATCATTGTCGTTTTAAACTAAAATCATTCAAACAACCGACTCACAGGAGCGAATTATCCAAACGCCTTTATTGAAGACCTCACGGCAATGATGTGATACACAAGGTGAAGTGGCGTGTACGCTGAAGAGGAATATACTGACCCAAATGTGGATCCAGTAAGTGTGGCTGCTCCTGGTATTTGCTCATTATCACTGCATGGGAACAAATAGCAATACATTAGCTAAAACAATAAAAAAGCAATGACTTCTTCATGTATTGATCTCGCCACTTTAAAAAAAATATTAAAGTATGTCTTACACACCCCATTGGCCCCGCAGCCTTCTGTAAAAGAATACATTCAGCAGCATTGATTCAAGACAAGCAAACTCTGGACCAGTTACAACATATCATCAGCAGGATATATGGGTCCTTGGTCAACACGAAATTCTATAACACGTAAAACCAATCATGAGCGTCGTTGTGAAGACAACCTCTCCTTCAAATATCTGTCCACAACCCACCGGCTCTATGGTCTTCGTGGGTCCGGTTCTTGCTTGTATTGAATCAATGCGGCGGAAATTACGCACTCCCACAAGGCGGTGGGGCGGATGGGTTGAGTTAGAAATACTTTAAGAATAGTTTTTCCCCTTTTTTTGGCAACAAAACAGGTGTTAGGATGTTAAAACACCAAACTGAAACCTTTTGCAAGGAATCATGTCTGCATTAACCACAGATACTTGTGGTGAAAATACAAACAAAAAACATGCTCTGACAGCTACATCATGGGACCTCCCATGTGCTGGTGTGGACCAATCAGTTTCAAAGACAATGCATATACTATCCGAGTATGTTGTTTGCATTCTGACCACAAGTATCTGTGGTTTATGCAGACATGATTCCTTGCAAAGGGTTTCAGTTTGGTGTTTTAACATCTTAACACCAGTTTTGTTGCCAGAAAAAAGTGGAAAACCTATTATATTTTGACACTGGCAAAGGAGTTCCCATGATAAGAAATTCTTTTTTTTAATTACGTGGCGAGACAGATATATACATGAGACATTGCCTGCGTATCTATTGCATCGTTCCTGATATTCTCATTTAAAATTAACCATTTGCCGAACAGAGCATTGACATGGAGTTTACTCCCAACTTGATCACAATGCAAGGGACGCAGTAGGCTGGCTTGTCTCGCTGTTCCGCCGCAGTGCAGCAAAAGCCATTGACATCGAAACTCGCTGCTGCCATCATCATCATCATCCACGTGCACTGACCAGCGTGGCGTGGCGAGGCCTACATCCAGCAGTGGAGTGACAAGGGGCTGTACACCCTCACAAACTGGACACCTTTGTTTAATTTATTTTCAGAAATTTACATTTAAGACTACAAATTAATGAAATTAATGATATTCACCCGCGATTCCGAAAGTGAGGGGGAAATCGAACCCCTGCCCCTCCCAAATATACAAGTCAAACTCCGCCTATGGCTGTACATTGTTGTTATTATTAAGATTATTACTGATTCTATACATATTCTTATGCCATGTACAAACGAGACAGACAACACAATGAGAAACAGTACCATCGGGACACCTAAAACGAGACCAGAATATGTTTCTAAACGAACTGCAGCTCTGGATCCCGGCAATTAATGGGATTGCGCCATGGGCCGCCAGATCCTTTCCCCGACTAAATAAATACACGACCCTACCGACATTGAAATCACAAGCCACGGCATTGCTTCATCGTAACCAAACTGAATGACAACTCTGTAGGCGACGACGACGACATTCTCTCTCTCTCTGTCGGCTTGTTCCCTCCACCTCAGCATGTTCACGAGTTCAATGGCGAAACTGCGTCGTGGTCTGGTCGCTAAACGCCACGGGTTGGGGGGGGCATTGACGAGCCGACGTCGTTGTTGTTGTTACATCGTTGTAGTATCGACATGAAACCCGCACTCGTTAGATGATCACGCGCGTGTGGTCGCGTCACGAGTGGTGTAAGTGTGTTCAACTATTAACTATTTTACTTTACCAGGTAAGGCCCACAGAGCTGTCTATAGTGCGCGTTTTCAGAAGCGTCTTGTGGAAATTTGCACAGCAGCAGGCGTCAGGGGTCGAGATCTAACCCCACGACCTCCTGTATATCAGGCGAGGTAGTTAACATCTCCTAGCCACCGTCACGATGATGATGATGAGACACAGACTCCAAATATACATCAGACAGGGTCAGCATCGAACCCCACGACCTCCTGTATATCAGGCGAGCTAGTTAACATCTCCGAGCCACCGTCACGATGATGATGAGAGACGCAAACTCCAAATATACAGCAGCAGGCGTCAGGCTCGGGATCAAACCCCACGACCTCCTGTATATCAGGCGAGGTAGTTAACAGCCACCGTGATGCTGTGTGTGTATGTGTGTATGTACGTGTGTCTGAACCGGTCCTGGGCCTCCCCTAGGTCGACTCAGCCTCAAATGAGTACCTGGTGCGGTGTGTAAACATCGCCACTGGGGAGACAAAGGCGGTCGGGCGTGGTGCTGGCCACCCACCCCCTCGTGTACCGTTCCGGCCTTCATAGGTGCTCGCTAACAGCACTTGCCCCTACAGTCTGTTAAGGCTACACGGGGGATCTTTATCTGTGTGTGTATGTGGGTGTATGTGTGTGTATGTATGTGTATGTGTGTGTGTATGTGTGTATGTGTGTGTATGTATGTGTGTATTGTGTGTGTATGTGTGTATGTATGTGTGTGTGTATGTATGTGTGTATGTGTGTGTATGTGTGTCCGGCAAAACAACCTCCTACCTCCTCGCGGTGCCGGACGGGCAACACTGTCGTGGACATTGCTGTGGGGGGAGGGCCAATGCCCATTGGCCTCTCCCCTCATGGCGTCTGTGACCACCACAGTGGCTAAACGGGGGCTCTGGACGGGTGTGAGGGGCTGGTAACCCCTCCACCTTCAATTCATTACCACTAAACCACGAATTAAACATAAACCTGTAACAAATAAGCTTGTGCCGGAGGCCCCGGGGGGTCAGGCTTTTATGACGTCTCCTGGCCAAACCCCATTTGGCGGAGCCAGGAGATTGAATTTTCACCCTCGGGGCTCCTCCAGAAACAACAAAAAACCATTGCGGATGGCCACGTGGAATGTTCGAACGCTCACTGCGGAGGAGAGGCTGCCACTCCTCTGTCGGGAGCTGGACCGGTACCGCCTGGATCTCTGTGGCATTCAGGAGGTCCGGTGGACCGGTTCTGGCTCCTGCCACCATGAGGGGTGGACAGTCCTCTACTCGGGGCAGGAGACTGCCAAACAACAGGGTGTGGCTCTTCTTCTGAACAAAAGAATGAAGGGGGCGTGGGAGCGTGGCGGTGAGGTGTGGGAAGCTGTAAGCCCCAGGATACTTTGGGCTCGCCTTCCCATCAACCAGAGGCGAGGAGTGGTGGTCGTGGTTACTTATGCCCCCACCGAAGACGAACATCCGTGGAGGGATGCAAGCAAAGCCGATGAGTCAGATGCTTTCTATGACCTCCTGTCACAGGTGCTGGCTAAAGTGGCCACTCGGGACAGAGTCATCTTGTTGGGTGACTTCAATGCCCGAGTTGGTCATGATGCTGACACCTGGTCTGGAGTGATTGGAAGGCATGGGCCAGATCAGCTCAATAATAACGGTAGGAGGCTGCTAGATTTTTGTGCAGCCCATGGGCTTGTAATTACCAACACGCTCTTCCGGCATCGGCGCATCCACACAACATCATGGATACATGCCGGGTCCAAGCAAGAACATCTGCTGGACTACATAGTGACGGACCAGCGGATGCGAACCCATGTCCTTGACACCAGGACCTACCGTGGAGCTGATCTGTCCTCTGACCATCGACTAGTCATCTGTAAGATGCGCCTGCCTTTCTTCCACTCCGGTGGTGGGTGTACACCCAGGATCCCATTCCAACCAAAAGTGGCCTGGTCTCAGTTAGCTGATGAAAGTTGCAAGCGAGAATTTCATCATCGCTTGCAGCTGGGGTTGGCATCGTCCCCCACTCCACCTGATGTCGAGGGTAAATGGGCGAGGTTTAGGACTGTGACTCATGCAGCTGCAATGGCTGCTTTGGGTACGCGGTCCAGACCTCCCCAGAAACCCTGGCTGACAGAGGAGGTGTTCAGGTTAATTGAGAAAAAGCGACAGGCCCACTCTCATCGCCTACAGCATCCCACGTCAGAGAATGAGGAGGTTTACCGCAGCCTTCGCTCGGAAGTTCGGAGAGCCGTAAGGCGTTGTAAGGATGGGTGGTGGTCGCGGGTTGCTGAGGAGATGGAGTCTGCCTCAGTGGCCCGTGATCACAAATCACTATTTAACTCCATCAAAAAAGTAACCTGCAGCGCCACACCTATTACCATCATTAGAGGAAAAAACGGTGATCCAATCTCCGACCCCCAGGAACAGGTTTGCAGATTTTCTGAGCATTTCTGTGAGGTCCTGGGGGAGGGAAATTCTCTCAGCCAGGAAAACATCATGGCACAAAGTGGGGATAACCCTGCTGAGGCTGCGGTGCCTCAAATATTGGAAGAGGTCACCCCCTGTGAGTGGCTGGCTGAGGTTCCAGCTGTTGAGGAAGTACTGAGGGCGATCCGGAGTCTGAGACCAGGGAAGGCATCGGGCAGAGATGATCTCCCAAGCGAAATGCTGAGGGAGGGTGGCGTTTGTGCACAGACTGCCCTATATGACATCATAACAACAGTCTGGACCACTGGACGGGTTCCGCAGGACTGGAAGGATGCCCTGGTGGTCCCCCTCTTTAAGAAGGGGGACCGCACAGACTGTAACAACTACAGGGGCATCTCACTCCTCAGTGTGCCGGGTAAGGTCCTGGCAAGGATTATTCAACATCGCCTTGCTAGGCACGCTGAGGAGGGGCTTGCGGAGCCCCAATGCGGTTTCAGGAAAGGGCGGTCCTGCACAGATGCCATATTTTCTGTCCGTCTGCTACAGCAGAGGTGTAGGGAATTCCAAAAAGACCTACATCTCTGCTTTATTGACCTGGTCAAGGCCTATGATACCATCAGTAGGACTGGACTCTGGGTTGTTCTTCGTGCTTTCGGAGTCCCTGACCCTCTGCTCACGATCATTAAGGACCTTCATGATGGTGAGCTGGGCCCGGGTAAAACTACGTGGCCGGGAGTCGGAGCCTTTCCCTGTACACCTTGGGGTGCGACAGGGATGTCCTCTGGCTCCCACATTATTTAACATCTATTTTGACCGCGTAGTTCGTGAAGCCTTCAATAGCTGTACCGGGGGAATTTCCGTTTGGTACAGATATAATGGGAGGCTGATCGACGCCCGGGTGCGATCAAGGGATGGCTCCCTATTGGTCAACCACGTTATGTATGCCGATGATTTGGTAATAGCTGCTCATTCAGAAGAGGAGTTGGAGGCGCTGTTGCTGAGACTGGAGCGTGCCACTAAGAGGTGGGGCCTTACCATCAGCCCCACCAAAACCAAGCACCTGCCTGGGTATTTTGTACCATCGGACACTCCACCCCCACAACTCCCAATTGGTGATGGGGCAGTTGTGGAGAGAGTGGAGAGTTTCCCATACCTGGGCAGTATGCTTATGACCGGCTCCAGTCTATCAGCAGAGGTCTCACTCCGAATCAGTCCAGCGGCAATATCTTTTCATCGGTTGCGTAACGCTGTGTGGAAGCTACCTGGTCTGTCGCTCCGCACGAAGCTTCAGGTCTTCTCGGCCACGGTCATTCCCTCCCTTCTCTACGCTTGCGAGACGTGGACCCCCCTGGTGGAGCATCTTCGCCGGTTGGAAACATTTAGGCTGGCCTGCCTACGATCCATCCTGGGTTTAACCAGGCTGGATTGTGTGAGGAGCTCACAAATCCTTGAAAGATCTGGGCAAAGTCCCATCAGTGAGCTCCTCCGGCAGGCAAGGCTGCGTTGGCTGGGTCATGTAGCCCGCATGCCCAGCCACCGCATGCCTAAACAGCTTTTGTTCGGCCGGATCGAGGGGGCTAGACGGGCGCGGCACGGGCTGGAGAAGAGATGGAGTGATGTGGTACAGGAGGACGTGGAGCTGAGTGGACTTGCCGATGACTGGTACCAGCGGTGTCAAGATCGGCCTCAGTGGAGGAGGCTCGTGAAGGACGCTACTGGGCAGTTGGAGGCAGTCGCCCTCCAACAACAACGGAGGGCGGAGGAGCGACGCTCACAACAACGAGCGGAGCGCCGGGTGGCTAAAGCACAGCAAGTTGGCACAGTAGGGGGCACAGGTGGTGCATCAGCCAGTCATCTCGGTCATCTCGGTCAGTCGACCAGTGGCACCTGGGTCTGCCCCGTGACCTCCTGCCAGCGGGCTTTCGACACTTCACGTGGCCTCAAGGTGCACTTGGCCTGGCACAAGCATCGTGGTGACGTCACCGCCACTTAGTGGCGAATGGCGGTTGTTGTTGTTGTTGTATGTGTGTGTGTGTATGTGTGTATATGTGTGTGTGTATATGTGTGTGTGTGTATGTGTGTATGTATGTGTGTGTATGTGTGTGTGCCCCCATCCCCGTTCCGCACAGAAGAACCGCTCGGTGATCTTCTCGTTGTCGGCGGGCTGCGAGGCGGCCCCCGGGAGCGCGGCGAGCAGTCGGCGGACCTCCTCGACGTCCGCGAAGGCGTAGAGCACGCAGCTCAGCGCCTCCAGCTCGCCCCCCTCGTCGTCGTCACCACCTCCTCGTCCTCCTCCACCTCCTCCTCCCGTCTCGCCAAGAGTCATTCTCCTCGCCTGCTGCGAGCCCAGAGGCAACGCGCGAGGTCGCTGGGCTGCTGGGACGGGTGACGGTGGCCGGGGCTGCTCGCTCGCTCAATGACAACCACAACCGCCACAACAACAACCACCACAACCACAGCACAACCACAGCAGCAGCACAATCACCACAGCAGCAGCAGCAGCACCACAATCACCACAGCAGCAGCAGCACAATCACCACAGCAGCAGCAGCAGCAGCGAGTTTCAATCTCGCCGCCAGTAACCCGGAATTGAATGTGCGGGAGGGGGGAGCCGCATCCGGAGCGGGCGCTGTGCGAGGGAGGGAGGGGCGAGTCTCAGCAGGGACGTGGGGGGGGGGTGGTGGAGGGTGGGTGGGGGTGGTGGTGGTGGTGAGGGTGGTGGGTGTGGTGGATGTGGTGGATGTGGAGGGTGGATGGGGGTGGTGGAGGGTAGGGGTGTTGCCGTGTTGGTGGAGGGTGGGTTGGTGGTAAGGGTGGTGATGAGGGTGGTAGTGAGGGAGGTGGTGGTGGTGGAGGGGTGGGTGGGGTGGTGGTGAGGGTGGGTGGGGGTGGTTGTGAGGGTGGGTGGAGGTGGTGGTGAGGGTGGGTGTGGTGGATGTGGAGGGTGGTGGTGAGGGTGGGTGGGGGTGGTTGTTTCTCGACGATTCTTCGGCGACGGTGCAAGTGGAGACGCTCGCTCGCTGTGACGCAGCACGCTCAAGTGACGCTCAAGTGAAATGTCGAAACGGGCCCGTAGTTTTTTTTTGCTTGGACGGTTTAATTAACGCTGCTTCTGTGGTTATGGACTCCCAACGAGGCCGTCGAGCGGCTGATGTGATGTGTAAAACTACTTTCCACGTTGGAGAGAGAGAGAGCGATGTCTCGTGAGAAGGGACGGATTGAGGCGTGTTGTGTTTATTTAGCAAGGCGCCGTTCTGGACCCGAGAGGCGCGAAATCCGTTCGGGGGAGGGGAGTGGACAGGCTGCGGCGTGGTTACCGTGCAGGAGAAATTACTGTTCAAGTTCATTTATTTGGTAGAGCCCTGTGAGCCATTCGGCTCTTGAATCGGGTGCAACCGCAACAAACAAAAAACATGAATAAGAAAACATCTTAAAGTGAATATGTGACTAAGTGCAAATAGAAAATCCAAGAAAAGACAGCAAAATATTGCAGAAAAAGCACCGTACACCAACACTGTGTGCAAAAATCCCAGTGGGATGCAAGTCAAACAACAACAACCACAAGACAACTTAGATTAAGGCCATCAGTCTTACTCCGTACTACAACAAACAAACATGGCCAAACCAAACAACTTTTCGAAATCACCAAAATAAAGCCATGAAAGCAATGAAACAGTGATCATAGGAACTGTGACGGAATTTTCACAATAAACAACATGTACTACCAAAACCCTGCAGCCATGGATGTCTGCATGAGTCAAGTGAAGACTCGATCAAAATTTCCACGTGCCGGTTTACCCGATTTGCGGATTAATCGCGCACCTGAGATTTTGACATCAATGAATGAACTCGTGGATTTTCCCATTAGCCCAAACTAATAATCTAAAAAACAGTCATACAACATTTTTATTCTTGGAAATGTTTATTACAAGCCACGTGCTTTAACCGAACACTGGTTAATCCGAAATCCACGCGATCGCCTCTACAGTACAGTAGTTGCAATATCTTACTAGAGCGGGCTAAGTTTGATGTGGATTGGTGTGGCTCTGCTGTCATCCACTTCGTGAGCAGGGTCTTCTACGCGTCAAAGTGTAATCACCGAGCACGCATAGAAGGGTCGTCCATAAATGACGTCACGCGATTTTGGACGATTTTTGACCCCCCCCCCCTCGTCACACGGCGTCATAAAAAGTCAGACCCCCCCCCTCAAATATGACGTCACAAAGCTCTGCCCCTCCCCCCAAACCATATTTCCATTTTGAAAAGAAAAAAGGTTTCAGTTTGGTGTTTTAACATCTTAACACCCGTTTTGTTGCCAGAAAAAGGGAAAATCTATTCTCATGAAAGTCTTGGTCAAGCCCTTCATCCAGCAGCGGCTAGACCACGTCTCGTTTTGCATACGTGCTGACGTCACGACGCAAAACCATTGAACTCTTGGCAGGCACGTCAAAACAGTGACGTAATCACGCACGAACCAGTCACTGCAGTTCGGCGGGGACGTCGACGACGCACGCCGAATGTCACCCTGACAACCTCGACAGGGTGTGCGTAACGACGTCATCGCGCACACCCGCCGCCCGTGGCGTGCGTGGAGACGTGCGTGATGGCGTCATCGTGCTTGCCTCTCCTGGCCTAGCGGTGCGTGGTGGCGTCATCACGCACGGTCCTCGGCCCGCCGTTGGTGTGCGTAACGACGTCATCGCGCACACCCGCCACCCGTGGCGTGCGTGGAGACGTGCGTGATGGCGTCATCACGCACGGTTTTCGGCCCGCCGTTGGTGTGCGTAACGACGTCATCGCGCACACCCGCCACCCGTGGCGTGCGTGGAGACGTGCGTGATGGCGTCATCACGCACGGTTTTCGGCCCGCCGTTGGTGTGCGTGATGACCTCATCGCGCAGCTCGCTCGCCAGTTGAACAGAAGCAAAACAATCGCCCACGTCGAGGAAAGATGTCGCTGCTCGACCTCGTCTCCAACCCGTTCGGCACGGCTGTGGGCCACCGCATTGGTACAAGGAAACGCGCCGCCGCTCGCCACTCTCGCGTTTTCGTTCGGTCACCGCGTGAGCCGCCGACTATCGTCGCCGAGCGATTCGGGTCTCGTAGCCGGCTGCGGCCTAGTACAGCTTTGGGGGAAGCCTCGGTCTCTCCTTAAGGTTGCCGGGGTTTACTGCGCCCTGGGCCGGCGCCGCTGCGGGTGCAGCTGCTGCAGCACCGTCTGCACCGAGGTCGCGACGATTCGTGATTTTTAATACGTGCAGTTGTGGGGTTTGTAAAACAAAAAAAGGGGAAAACCCGAATGAGTCGCTGTCTTGTTAAATTATAAAGGGAAAAAACAAATTAGCTGATTTAAATATGTTCCGACCATATTTATAAAACAGCTGCGGCGCTTTCGTGCACAGCGGGTTGTCAAAATGTGACTGACATGACGTTGGCAATTCGAGCACCCAGTACCCGATACGATTCTAAAGACTGTCCCGAGTGCGTAAGTACTATTTAATAATGAGTATACGCATCATGTATGTGACGTTAATCCACTGCTGGATGAGGGCCTCCGCACGCCGTTCCGATTATTGGGGTAGTTTTGACCATACTTGATGCTGGTCAGTGCGGTTTGGTGAAGGGAGAGAGCGCCTCGGGACCGCTTCAGATACCCCCGCGTCATCCCCGTGGCCTGGAATCGAACTGTGGTGGTCAGATGCATAGCGCAGTGCGCTAAGTTTTTTCACAACCACTGCGCCACCGCTCGACCCGTGTTATTTCAGCTGAACGAGATTGTCTCGTGTGCGGGCACACACTGAAATGGCCATACTCTGTATCGGTGGAAATAAGGCCAAAGGCATTCGGCAATTCCACATTCTTGTTGCTTTATTTAGTCTGGCCTTCGCCGAGTGGAGATGACGGCTTGGTTGTTATGCACACCGATGGGTGTGCCGTAGCGTTGAAGGCTTTTGGCGCGCACGTTTTGGACAAAGTGCGTGGCTTTATGACGATGCCCTTAGCCTTGTGTTGTTGGATGTATTGGGGTCGTCACCAGCGATAGGATGTGTCAGAGGTGAGATACCTCAAGGAGAGATGGACGTGTACAGAGTACCTGCTTAATTACAGAGGTGAAAACTAGACCAGATCAAATTTATGTGAAACAATAATAGCTCGATGTCGTACTCGGGAGCCCTGTTCTGGAGGAGTTTCTCACGTTTGAATTACACCGAAAGCAAGAGCGATCTCAATTACACATTTATACAGAACCCACTGATGTCTAACGACCCTCATTTTTCATGACCTTCGCTTATGCATCATTGAATTTTGAAACCGATTCTCATCGTCTCTTAGCCAAAGTGTATCATGAGAGTGTTAAACATTTAACGCGTGTGTTGAGATTGGTGGGACACGTGGAGAGGCTTTAACATGTTTTCTATATAGTTTCTCCCCATTTTATTAGTGGGATATCTGTAAATGGGATCCCCCCCCTGTATGTTAGTAAATTATTATTTGGTATGTTGTGTGCAATACCTACAACATACGGAACACCTGCAAAGAACAATGAGTAAACCTATAATTTCCACAAGCTGGGAAATTCTGTAGTCCTCTAAAACCCCATACAGGAGGTAGCATTTTTCTCATTTGCTCATTCTAGCAGCTCATCATTCTACGTGCATAATGGAGATGTTTGCTTCTAATAGAAGGCAGACATCTATTGTTATTACAGTGCTTTTATTCTGGTATAAAGAATCAACAGGTATATATTTCTTAGTACCAACATTCAAACAAAACCAGGAGATGGAAAACAACTCGGTTTTCATTTCAGTTTTTCAGTTTAATTTATTTGGTATAGCCCTGTGAGCCATTCGGCTCTTGAATCGGGTGCAACCGCAACAAACAAAAACATGAACATGCTTACATTTGTAGTGTTGTAAAGAACCCACTACACATTTAACCTACAGTAAAGAGGATGGATATGTGGCAAATATAGAAGGTAAACGATACTCGTAAGGACAATACAAGTTGGTTGACATTGTATCTGGAGGGAGATATGCGGACCATACTTCCTCAATGGTTTGTGCATGTTAGTTAGAATGACATTCAAACTCTTAAGAAAAGTGGGTTTAATTGGGTCATGTCGTTAGAAGGGACGATGAAGTGGTGGCAGCCAAGGAATGGAGCGCATCAGAGAGGTCGACCACTTTCGAGGTGGAGCAAGGAAGTCAGTCTGTGTGCAGGTGTTGGGTGGACTATTATAATGGAGGCTTATGAGGGATGGCGGTAAGGAGTGGATTGACCATAGCTGATGATGATCATCTGGAGAGATAATGGTCAATGCAGTGTTCTGTGCCTTATTGTTATGAGGCCAGCGATAACCGAGGTAGTTTTTATACCGTTCTTCCAGAATTTAATATGTGGAGGTGGGGTTATACTGTAATATTGTGAGTTTTTTCGTTCAAGTTTGTTACAGAGGATTTAATTTAATAACAAAAGCAAGGCTGCATACTCACATAATCTCACGAGTACAGTGCATCTAAAACAATTGAACTAATCTGCCATTCACGTTTGCTCTTAAAAGAATACACCTCGCACAGTTGGTGACATAAGTTGAGAA